AAAATGGCCATGCCAGTTTTTCCATCGCCAGCAGCAGTTAGCAGCATTATTAAGCTCTCTTTGCAACAAGCTACGCCGACATGGTTGGTACAAATGGGTGCCTTATGCTGTCTAGTTCTCCAGGATGCCCCACTACTTCTGCACTATCTTAAAAAATGAGTGTGTCACAGCCTCTTAAAGAAAGATGTTTTTGCCCCCAGTTATTTCTGCGAGGGGGTCCAATGGGGGGCCAGCAATTGTATCAGGGTGGCCATGGCCCCCCCACCCCCCTTTGGGTGGCACCACTGCTCAGAGCTCAGGCTGCATCCTGCCATGGCTTTTAAATGGAGACAAAACACAAGACCACAAGACTGACGACATCTTTATATGATTAAGTGGACCGATAACTGCTATCGTGTACATGATCATTGATTCTCTGTGCTGTTATTTAACTCGTCTGTCAGTGGGAGAACTGTGAGTGCTTCTATTATCTGAGGCATGAGTGATTACAGTTTTAGTTCAAGTGGCCCAGAGGGAATGTGACCTCCAACCCAGGCAGTGTTAATACCAGCCTCACTCACTAGCAGCCTGTCAGAGCGGATGTGCATTAAGGACTCTGCATGAAAGGCAGCAGCACAGTTAGTTCATCCACAGTACATAAAAGACCAATCAGCAGGTTGTGTCCGCTTAAACGGCATTTACATATTTTATAATAAATTTTTATGATGGCATAGTATATTGACTATTATTCATCAACCTGTGTTATATCAGTTTTGTTACTCATATTAAAATGGGTTAGGGTTAGCCTAACCCTGATCCCCAACCCTGACCATAACTCATTCACTGCAGAAAAGGCTCTTAAGAATATAATGACTTATGTATTCTTGCAATATGATTAATATATTATACTGTAGGATGTCTATAAAAATGGAAAGTTCTATTTGTGTACTTTTCATATTAATATAAAATTGATTTACAACGATTTAGGTCAGTTTTTTACGGGGTAATGGTCAGATCATAGATTTTATATGAATTTACATGTTACAAGGTGGTTGCTACGGTGTTGTGGGTGGTTGCTAGTAAATATATATTGATATATGTGTATTTGTACACAATGTACACATGCGTGCGTGCACACACACACACACACACACACACACACACACTATTATATATGTATATAGATGTTAAAAGAATGTGACTTTGTGTTTCAGTGCCTATGAGGTGATCAAGCTGAAGGGCTACACTAACTGGGCCATTGGTCTGAGCGTGGCGGACCTGACTGAGAGCATTGTCAAGAACATGAGCCGTGTCCATCCTGTCTCCACCATGGTCAAGGTCTGACAAAACACACATGCATGAAAAAGCACAAACAAAAACACACGTACACTCACATACGTTTACTTATGCAGACATATACATTAATTTCCTGGAAACTAACCCCTCACCTCTTAACCTTCATGCTAACCTAACCATAACCACTGGAAGCTGACCCCATAATCTTCTTCTTGCCAGCTGGGGACATGGCTTCTGTCCCCACTTGCACAAGCCGTCCCCCGATTTACAAATTTTGTTTTGTTATTTATTGTTGTTGTTTATTACCCACAATGCAGATTTTTGACACAGTTCCCCTTTGTTAAACAGGTAGTAATGCCTTAATATCCCATCATTTACCATCATGTAAGCTGTTATTGTGCCTTAGTGGTGCTTATTCCCAAAATAATTTTTAGTGAATTTAATTACAACAAATCACCTGCAAAAGAATGAAGGTGGATTCTCAGGACCCCAGGATAGTTTCCTGTTATAGCTAGTTGGTGATCTAACCTTGCACACAGCCTAAATCCTAAATACAGTCATTGTTTCTGATAAAAACCATGGTGACGTGATTATTTTTTGGTCTTGCTATCAAATGATCCCCACCATGACTCATATTCCTCTGCCATTTCAGTCCTTGTTTGTTATTGAAGGACAGAAGGGAGGTTAAAAAGACACACTGTTCTGCACCATTGTCTCATTTTTCTAACAACCTAAACTTATGCTGGTTAATTTGTTATCTCTAGATTACAGGTTTAAAAAATAAGAACACTAATCACTAACCATAACCTAATCAGATAACAAATGCATGTTCTTGGACTGAAAGTTTATGTTCATGTATCTATACATGTTAGGTGATGTATTGTTAGCTTAAATTTGGAGGACATTGAATGTAAGTAAAACACTCACTAGAAACAGGCCTTCTCAACTTTAGGGGAGACTTATGGGTGCCCCTAGAACCCAACCCAAGTGAAAATTCAAGGAACCCCTTTGAAAAGGGCCATGCCAGTTGTTCCCTCGTCAAAATTCAGCCTTACTTTGGAGCATTATTTAACCCCCATGCCTTCAACAAACTATGCTTATATGGTTGGTACCAATGGATGCCTTAGATTGTCTCTTTGTCCAAAGATACCACTACCTTCTTAGCTTAAAAAACAAGTGCACCACAGCCTGTAGAAGACAGTAATTTCAGCCTCTAATCATTTTCGCAATCATTTTTTGGCCAGTTGGGGCAACTGTTTCAGGGAGGTTGTGGCCCACCTGGCAACCCATTTGCAAATATTGATCGTGAGCAAATCCCTTTCTTGGCTTCTGCAGTTGCCTCCAGTTGTATGACTTGTCTAAAATAGCAGTCCTACAGCTAGTGTGTTGATGACAGTCATTGCGACTCTTAAGTACTAGATGTAACTATTTAGTAATCAGTTTTTTCCCAAACATCACTCAGTCAGTGCTGTCTCTGGAAGTCTCTGGATGGTGGATGTCTTTGTGCCTCCTCACCTAACTCTGTGTATGTGTGTGTCTTTTCCTCAGAGCATGTATGGGATTGGTGAGGAGGTCTTCCTGTCTCTGCCCTGCGTGCTGAACAGCACCGGCGTGAGCAGCGTGGTCAACATGACCCTGACGGAGGCCGAGGTGGCCCAGCTGAAGAAGAGTGCCGACACGCTGTGGGGCATCCAGAAGGACCTGAAGGACCTCTGAACACACCCGCGCACATAAGACACACCCATGGTGCAGAGAGGCCTGTCGGCACGTACACACTCCTTTTATAACGCCCCCCTCTCTTAGACCGTATCGCTCTTATTTTGAAGGAGACTACCAGAGTTTTTTGTAAAGATTGTGCCAGTGAGATTTTTTGTTTAACCTGTACGTCATCCAGCCTGATTTGACTGTTTAAAATCGGTGCTGTCAGCTTCCTGTCATTCACCTTTTTGTCTGAGAAACTCTGGTATGCTCCTTTAACAAAATAAAGAGATTTGCTCTCCAGCACTTAGTAGGCTGAAGTCGCTGTGTTACTGTGTTTATGTAACAAGATGTAAGCTGACCTGTGTTACTGTACTCTTTCAGCTGTTTGGACCAGAATCAAACACAACCCTCAGAAAGCCAAAACTATCACTGTACTCCACCGCCACCACTTCCTGTACTGAGTCCTTTCTTTAGTTCACTCAGAGAAAGACCCCAAACGTCTCGGCAAAGACACAAAAAAATCCAAAATGACGCTGTTTTCCTCTTGCCTTCGTCTAAAAGTGGTTTTCTGCAGCAGTCGGCTGCACACTTAGGTCAACACGCAGTGAAATTGTGACATCGTGAGTGTGATGGTGGATTGTTCTTCCCCTCCTGTTTTCTCAATGTTAGCAAAGGGAGATGGAGCAGCAGGGGAGGAGTGGGAAAGTCCAGCTTGAGTTGTTTTTTAAACATCAGTTGTTACCGTCTGACCTTGTGTTGTGTGTAACTTAATAAATCTGATGAAGAGTGGTTTGTGTATGTGAGTGTTTTTCCTTTTCAGATTACTCAAACAGTGTCACCTTTTGTTAACAAGAGGAGAAATCATTGCTCCTTCATTTTTTGTTCGTGGAATAATAGACACCACCGTGAGAGCAAAGGGATGACTGGAAGGTTGTCCAATTGAAATGAACTTCTAAGATCAAATGGATAAAAAGATGTCAGTAACATTTGCAAAATTCCAACAGCAGGCTTTATTATCTCAGAAATAGTGTTTTATTTGGAACCACATCAATATTACTGTCAACTGTTAGAGCACAGATGCACCATTTCGTTACTGTGTTGTTTGAGAGTGGCCATCTCTTAAAAATAAGGATTTTCTTCCAAGTTTAAGAATGAATCTCTGTAATAAAGCCATTCTTAAAAGTATTAAAAAGTTATTGAAATGAAGTTATCATGTTACTGTAACAGAGTCCTGTTTTTGAGCAAGATAACAGATCCAAAATATTTAAGTACAGATCGTTTAGGAATCAACAAATTAGCCAATATCGATTAAGTTTGCTCCTTCTAAATTTTGTATTTCAAATGACAGAAGAGAATCTGGTTAAAGATTTGACCTGACGTTTGTTCATGATCATATCAAGAATATACTGATATGGATGATAAACATAGATAGTATGATATGAAACGAGGTAGCACTCGACTGCAATGGGTAGATATAATCAATGCCAAGCACTGTACTGTCCTTCTATTTCAAATTTATTAAAAAAAAAGAAGCAAAAAACTAGAACTGATAATGAGTGTTGCGTAGGCTATATCACTGTCAACAACTTTAATCTTTGCATGCTTATTGTGTGTGCTTAGATACTTAATACACAAGCTGGTTCAGTGCCATGTTAACATGTTAACATGTTAGGGCCGGCCCTGATTGCTGATGCACATTATATGAACGTGATAATTATTTGCACAACGATGTGGCCGCTAAACAACTCATGCAGTTTATTTTAAAAGGCACCACAGTGACATCTTATGGTCAGATCAAGCCACTACATAAAATTCCAATTGAGCTTCTCTAACATTGCATCTCTTCTATTGTCCCCTCATCACTAAAGCCTATGAACTGTTGAACTTCTTAAATACTAGAGGACTACAAGCAAACATGCAAGCAAAAAAAAATGTTACTGTCTGAGGCATTAACCTATTCTAGTATAGTAGTTTTTTGTTCCTCTCAAACTCTTGTTTTAAAATAATTTCACAGTGACGGTGGGTACAAAAGTTTTATTCACAGAAACATCATTTCATCTGAGACAAAAGGCCTTTTCCAAACACATATAGACAGACACTTGTCACCTTGACTTTTCACCAGTGGGACACAAGTCCTCAAAGGAAGACACGCATCTGTTTCAAGAAGGCACCTCCAGTTCTCGCGAGAAGAGAGAAAAGGGTGAAAACTTATTTGTCCTGGCTGTTTTCACGGCTCTCCTGTAAATGTAGCCGTTGTATCGTTTCCCGAAGCGGAGGCCAAACGGGTTGAAGTTGAATTTACTCCTGCGGTCGTTACACAGCAGCTGCCGCTGCTCCTCATTCTCCCTCAGGGACAAACACGGGCTGGTATCCTCCGCCACAAACTCTCCTGTGCTCCTTCTCCTCAGTGCAGACAGGATGGATCCTGAGGAGGACAGGGACATCAGCTCAGTGCATGGACCTGCAGCCTGCTGCTGCTACATAAACACACCATCACTGTCACTGTTTGTTAACTAAACTAACTGACAAATTCTATCATTAGTATTATTTAAAGGTAATATTTTACTTAGGCATATTTGGTCATATTTTCTGTCAATTTTATATCTGTTTTCTGAAAATGTATTTTTAAATACGCAAATAAGGCAGCTAAAAAACAGCCCTAAAAATCTCTTATTATTATTGAAAATATCTTTTGCCATGTTTTTGGGAAATAAAATGTCTTTTAAATCAGGCTATGACTGACATATTAACAAACCCTTCTGTAAAAACCTTCAGAATATAGACAGGAATACAACTGGGAACTTTGGTGTGTGAAAGTGGTACTGATGTAGTTAGTCTGAGGAAAAAACTGCCTTTAAAAGATTTGTTTTGTAAGGTTCCGTACATTTTTAGACCAAAAAAAGACAAATTAAGACAGAAGACATTTTTCTTCTCAATATTCTTGTTTTGTTTACATGTTGGAGTCAAAGGTTTAACAGAGGAAATTTTAAATTTCTCTTTCTATAAATTTGAAAATACTGTCAACAGCCATTGAAAAAATCCACTGTCGCCATGTTTTTTTTTTATAGAAATAAAAAGTAAGGCTGAAAATAATATTTGAAAAAATTCCTCTGTATTACAATCACAATACCAGAAACATGGCCTGTAATGATAAATATTGTAAAATACAAAAAAGAAGACACTACAGTGGATAGGGTAAAAAAAACAACAAAAAAACAAATAAACAAAAAAAACTTATACATATCACCATGAAACTTACCCAGTTTATTACTTACATTAAGACAATATTTTTTATCTTATAAATTATCTCAAACTGTATGTATAAATTTGCATTATCTAATAAAATACATGCTCATTTGCCAACACAGAAATCTGAACTAAAACAAACACCTAAACTCTTAGACACTTTATTTCTACTAGTCTGAAAGAAGACAGAAGTAAAATAACCCAAAACCTCAAAATGACCAGTGTATAAAATATGTTTTAACTTGTAGGCACCCTTATTATTATTCTAGACTGTAAACTCTAGGTTTCTACAGCCAAAATAAAAGACAGGTCCAGTGTCAGCCTAGATTAAAAGTAAAAATCCTGCATTAAAGGAAGTTTAAAAATATCGAAAAACATGAAAAACATGGTAGTGAAAGTACTTGGTGGGGCTGTATACTGTAAGTACTGTGGAGAATGCTCCCCTTTAGTAGTGGACTAATAATAATAATAATAATAATAATAATGATAAAAAAAATAATGATAATAATAATAATGATGATAATACATATATCATTTTATTGGATTGGATTAGTGCAGCGTGTTGTAGCTGGGCAAGGTGGAGCTGATTTGCTTCAAAGACTGTTTGGTTAGTGTAATTAGATTTCACAATTTAATCATATGATTTGAGTGCAAAATCATAATCAGCAAAGTAACTTAATGTAAAAAGTAAGCTAACTCCCTCTGTAGTAGAAATTAGCATAAAAAGGAGCAATTCTTAAGATTATATTCAGTTCTTGGGTAAATGTATCCTGTGTAGTTACCCTCCACCAGTCACAGTCTACTATCTCCATAAAGAATAATATAAGATTAAATATTCTCATCAGTTTGCCCACCTGTTGCATGTGTCCTCTGTGCAGAGTCAAATCCCGGCAGAGCTGCTCCCACACTGTCTCCATCCTGTCCAACAATCAGGCCACACACCACAACCAGAGTCACCAGTCTCATGTTTGGACACAAGGTACAAATCCTTTGTCTCTCTGTCCAACAGTGCTGATTCAAGTGTTTATCTTCACCTCCTCAGCAGGCACTAACACGTTCACTCCTATCAGACCTGTTTTATATTTTCACCAGGTGACCTTGTGCTCCTCCAGCTCACAGCCAATCACAGCCGTGTGCGTCTGTGAGCTGTAAATTGCGGAGCTGTCCTCTGCTGCTGGTGCTGAAATGTATCATTCATCAGCTCTTCTGGGAAATGTGGCCAGCTCAGTTTGCTGCTGGGATCATTCAGGTATTGCAAGATAATGTGTGACTGCATGTTGAAAATGGTGATGTCCTGAGCATTTTAAAATCAAATAAGTGACAGGAACAAGGCTGAAACGCCAGGATGTGTAATTGGCCAATTAGGTTCCAGTTTGGCGACAGTAAAACAAAGAGCAGCAGCAGAATGGTGGGCTGAGTTGATAGTAGAAAACTGTTCTTTAATATATATTCTACTTTAATTCTTGACTTCCATGTGTGTAATACAGCAATGTGTTGCCATGCAGAGAGAGGAAGGCCCAAAGCATAAATGGCTACACAAACAGCATTTACTGACTTGCCACTGCACGCTGTATGGATATGAGCTTGTAGACTTTCCAGGGATGAAATGCAGCTGTATATGAAATTGGGACACAATCTGATAAATAGGTACATACCTGGATATAAGGAGCATTACCACTATTGGTAAAGGTCTGTCATTGCAGGGAGGGTTAAACAATCTTTCTTGTATTCATATTTTTTTGGCATTTCTTCCAGACAGGATGCAGATAATGAGAGGGGAGAGAGGTAGGATAACAGGAACCATAGGATCTTAGTCAGACTTGAACCAGGATGATGACATCACGTGGTTAATGTCTTGAAGCCCTGTGGCTACCAGAACACACCGGATTTCATAAATTGAAATAAAATACAAAATAGACCAGATTTAGATTATTAAATAAAGTGAATGCATTTGGAGAATTGTTTCTAAGTCATATTTAGACCTAAGTTACTTCTTGTACTTTTCTTATAGAACATTACAGAGCCGTAATCATCTAGTTAACATTTGGGGTAATAAGAATGCTGAAACTAAAACTAAAAGGGTATAGCAACAAAAATGGTGGGGATGTTGCATTTTATTAACTGTTTGACTTGTTACTCTACATTAGTTTTTATGGGGAAGGGTTTTAAGTGAGTAATTAATGCATTCAGGTAAAATGGGGCAAAAGAATAAGCTAAAATAGGGCATCGTTTCTGAAGTGAAACCAGCATGTTGTTAAGCTACCAGCTGCCATGCTGTGTGTGCCACCCTGTAATATAAAAAACATTTTTAGTATTTGTGTCACTTAAAAAAAACTAAAGATGATGCAGTGAGTTTTGCATCAGCCAAAGTAGTCCAGCATTGACCATCATTGTTACACAAATGCAAGCACACACAGAATAAGTCCATTGTGGACAATATGGCAACAAGGAAACAGACAACAAAAGGACTGGAAAAGCATGTCAGAAAAGCTGGACATATATTTTAAATGAATAGTTAGGTTACATTAATGATTTGACGAATTAATGACTGAACTGGTAAATGGATTTAATTGTTTAAAAAACAAGCAAGCATGAGTGTCCCACTTTACCTGAGCATGTCAGTGGAGTGAGGTAGCAGTTCTTAGTGTGTTTAAATGTCCAACATTTCTAAATTATTTTATTTGGCAACATATTTTCTTTATAGAAATATAGCAGAAATATATAAAGTTAAATAAGTAACATTCAAGGTAGTCCTCAGAGTTTTAGGCAGTTTTCTTTATAACTTGCCAAAAAATGTCCCCAATGACCAGACTTCACTCTGCCAACACTTTGCAAAAACTACAAGTGACAGTGATGTAGCCTACATGACACTCTATTCTATTTTTCCACTTTTCAATGCGTGTGAGAGATTTATAATTACAGCCTAGGGAAATGACAAGCCTGACAACGGCTTGCAGGTATTGCAAGAAAACTGTATTAGACAGGATGAGCGCAAAAAACTGTGCAGTATTTCCTCACTGGAACATTACCCTGCCTGAGGTTAGCTGTCTGCCACTTAGTGTGTGATAATGTATGAAACACAGATCTGTTTCAGAACATGCACCAAGTGAGCAGAGTATAAGTGTTTTCTTTCCACTCTGTGGCATCAGTGAAAACACTAAACATCTTTCCATTAGGTGTCTGACAGTGAACCAAGACAGAGATGATGAAGATGACTATGAGGTTGATGATGACTATGATTAATTGCATTGTTTATGAGAACGTTTAATGAAAAACTGATGTTAAATGAAAGCTTGAGAATACTGAAAGGAGTTCTGACCATAGGTGGATTATGACACAGTGGGCCTTTAGGCTCATACATGAAAGAGCCCCTCCTTCAAGGTGATTGTGTAGGTTTTTCCTTCAGGGTTTTTTCTGTTTTAGCACTTTTGGGGCTCTGTTATTGACATGATGACTTACTCCTTTCACAAAAAGCAAAGTTAAAAACAGTGACTTCATGCAGAGAGGCCCTTGAGCATCTGGGTTTGGCTTTGGTTATACAGCCATGACTCTGACAATGCGTTGATTAAAGCCAGAGAGTATTGAATGAAATTGAAGATGCAGACAAAGCTTAAGCATGTTTGTGTGTCGGTGTAATTAGCCCATATTTACATTTTTATCAACCTGAAAATGAATATAACTTTGATACACTTTGTGCTATATATTGCCAAAGTATGAGTTATTAACTCAATTGAATAATGTTGCTTTCATATTGTGTGAATTTTCAGAGCAAGTATTATTCAGTATTCTCAGTTTTTCACAAAATACTCTCAAGGTGGTCATATTGTTTTTGGCATGATCTCATGTAGGGGAAAAAGAGGTTAAAACATTGCTGCACCACACTTATGACACGCCAGAGGGCTCCACAGGACTGCAACAATAACAGTAGTCCTTCTGGCCTCCTGGTCTGGTCTGATGCAAATCATGCAACTGCCAAATCCTCCAGTGTCACCGCCTCCTCTCTCCTCATATTTCTTGTCAATTTTTACTTAGTGTCACATATGAATTATTACATATTAGAATGCATATATGAATTTTATGTTAGGTCTTTTTATTCTATTTTCAGGCTGCCTTTTTTAGTATGACCAGGAATAACAGAAGCAAATGAACCTTTTAGGTTAACACAGGGTCATTTACAGTGTTCCACTGTTGATCATTAAGCACTGTCCCTGTCAAACATACTAACTACAGTAAACATGAAAAAAAGGAAGATAAAGGCAAAACATAGCACAAGTAATCATCTCAAAGAAATGTAGCTAAAAAAAGTCGGCATCATAACTTTCTTAACCACTCATATGTCACATGTGTATGTCATAATGTGGTGGATACATTGAAACTTAACATTTCCTTTTCCAACAACACTGTGGTTAGCATGTAGCCTGGTTTAGGCACAAAACCACTTGGTTATGGATAGGAAAAAAATCATGTCTGGATTTAAAATACCCAGTTTTGGTTGCACAGTCACAGCTGAAGAAGCCACCAAAAAAAACACTTTTATGGCATGTTCTCAGAAGGAAACGACTGCTTTCTGTTGTACTATCCTCAGTGGAAAAAACAGTGATGGGTCGCTTTAAACCATCCCCTCCACCTCCAGATGACAAGGTCAGCTCATATTGTGTCATATGGATTACTGTTAATTTATTATGCTGATCTGTTCTGTACCACATCTATTGCACGTCTGTCCGTCCTGGAAGAGGGATCCCTCCTCAGTTGCTCTTCCTGAGGTTTCTACCGGTTTTTTTTCCCCGTTAAAGGGTTTTTTTTGGGGAGTTTTTCCTTATCTGCTGTGAGGGTCATAAGGACAGAGGGATGTTGTATGCTGTAAAGCCCTGTGAGGCAAACTGTGATGTGTGATATTGGGCTTTATAAATAAAATTGATTGATTGATTGATTGATTGATTGATTGATATACTACGTCACTTTAGAAACACTGATTTGATACGTATGACACATACAAATGTAACATATTCGTGGTTCGCAAAAACATACAAAGCCAAAACATTTTCTTCTGGGCTGCCAGTAATGATGAAGTTTTTACTATGACTGCCAGGGTGACATTCTCTGTGAATATTCTGGCACTTTCAGTCAGTGGGAGTGCACTAATGGGAAGACCTTCTTTCATTCATCTACATTTCACAATCACATTCAGTTCAGCTCAGCAACAACACTACTAAACCTTTCACCCCTACATGTGTGTGTGTGTGTGTGTGTGTGTCTGTGTGTGTCTGTGTGTGTAATGTTGACATCCCTTCCTGGAGGTCAGCCTCAGTAGGCGGGGTGGAAGCTCTTTGCCCCCATCAGTCCCTTTTATCTTGTCCTGGAGGTCTGTCCCCGCTGAGCCCAGGACCTCCACCTGCAGACCTGTTTGAAGGATCTCTCCACTGACACTTTTCCATTCAGTTTCTGTCGGACCTTCAGATATTTTAAGATGCCGCTGTCACGTTCCCTGTCCATGTCGTCCCTGAGCGGGGTGCTGCCGGCCTGGGAGGAAGACGAGCTCCCCGTGGAGGATCTGCTGCTCTTTGAGGTGGCTTGGGAGGTCACCAACAAAGGTCAGATCACAAGTGTAATGATTTTCTGAACAAAATTAGATGTTTGAATTGATGCATTCAGTCAGTAAGCACGAGTTCAGCCACAGAGGGCTTTCTTCCAAAGTATTGCAAAATTCTACAGTGCGAACGCTGCATTTTTATATTTCACAATGCTGCCTTACCATTTCAAGTATTTGAACTGCAACTTGAATCAAAGTCAGCCATAATGAAGGGAAAATAATGTCTGATTTTAGCAGGAAACTGTATGATTTATCCAGAGATTTCTCAGATTGTACATTAACTGTAAACAGGGCATTTTATCAAAAGCAGCAAATGAAGCATGTCCATTAATGCTTATGACTCAGCAATTAAAAATCTGTTTGTTTGGCAGTGTTGGTTTTATTTTGTGTAAATCTGTGTCTCTGTACCCCATAAAGAGCAAATATTGAAATCCGGTGAGCATAGACACAGAGTCTGCTCCCTCTTAAGAGTTAAACATTAAACTGCAGATAAGTGGTGAAAGAGAAAAAGGCATGTGTAATAACACAGACATGAAACAAAAACTGACAGCGAACAAACTGGATAAATAAATTCCTGGATAAGGTGTCAACATATAAGTGTTGGTGACAGTGTCACCCTGTGTCACCACTCATTATGATTGTATATACCCTCAGTTTGACTTTAGCTTTGACTGAGGCAGAGCCGTACTGCTGAGGATGACGAGGTCATGATCCCTTTGGGGGATGTGGAGGTTTTGCAACTTGTTTCTAATGTGTGTAGCAATCAGTATAGGTGGAGATTAGTTGTGGAAATGGTCTGCTAGTGACAACATCAACTATTGGTTTCAGCACCAGTATGTTATACACTCAAAATATTCTAATGTTTTTGAATTAAGTCTTTTTGTCAGGCTCACGTATTTTAATGACATAAAATTTCCATCCAAGTGAGGCAAGTAATTTTAACATAAACTAAAAAGTATCATTTATGGAATTAAATCAAATAAAGCTGAGCTTAATAGACCATAAGAATTTATCTAACTATAACTCAAAGTATTTCAAATATGTTAATGTTCATCAATTCACAGCTGGATGGAAATTTTATATGTAATTAAAATATGTAAACTTGAGAAAATACATAAAATAATTTCTGTCTTTCTTCCATAGAGTACATATTACAGTATTCATATTATATTGTGCATATAGTGCATGGTCATGTTGTCAAACAGTTCAGAGGTTATTGGCCATTCTGGTGTTTTCTCTGCCCTCTGCACTTATATAACGCCTGCTCTCTGATGCAGTTTAGACGTCACTGATTGTTGATGGTCGTTCATATCAATATTTGTCTTTTTGCTGCCACGTGAGAGACTTGGAAAACATTTCCACATGTTTTGGTCTGTTACAAAAAAGAAAAAAAAATCTGTCTGTGTCACAAACCAAACAGCGATGAGATCAGTTTGTAGCCTGCTTTAAATTTACATTTTCCATTTTTTTTTATGTTTATCTGCATGAAATTACCCCCTTAGAACTGTGTCAATCTGGTCTTGATTTAATTTCAGACTCATCTTTTTTTCAGATTTTTCCTGATCCAAAATTAACACATCCATCCCAAAGTCAACTGCATAAATACTCAGGGACAGATGTGCCTCTCCAAGTCTCTTAATAACTCCAAGTATGGATGAATGCATGTCTTTCTTCAGAATAACCTTCTTAAAAATAGAGAAACATCTGAATTTAAAATTTATGACAGATTATGTACATGTACAATTTAGGTTAGCCCATAAGACAATTGTTACAAAATGCACTTAATTATAATAGACTGTATCAGATGAGTCTTATACAGAACCGTAACTCAACTGATCACTTTGACTTGTGAGGACTATCTGATCTTTGACCTCTATTAGTGTATTCAGGTAGAACAGGGTCCCAAATTTAAAACAGCATTTCCTTCATCTTACTCAGTAAAGTCACACTAATATTTAAATGAAGAGAAGTTAAAAACACAATTTCAGGGCTGTCCCTTCCGTTCACTCTCTGTATGTGAACCTGCAGTTGGAGGAATCTACACAGTGATCCAAACCAAAGCCAAGATCACAGTGGATGAATGGGGGGAGAATTACTATATGATGGGGCCCTACTTTGAACACAACTTTAAGACCCAGGTGGAAGGCTGCGAGCCGCCAAACCCTGCCATCAGGAAGGCCATGGACGCTCTCATCCACAACGGATGCCAGGTGGGAGAGAGTGAGTGTTTGTGTGTGTTAGAAATAGACAAAATGTCTCATGTCTAATGTAATTAAGGAAGTTGAGAGTGCTATTTTAGTTTTAGTTTAATTTTAATAATTGCTAACACGTATGATTGTGTCTGGAGCAGGTCGTCATTATTCATAGAATTGGTGGCTACCTGGGTTTGAGCAGATTTGGGTGTTTAAGAATTTGATGCACTTGATTCCTCTTATTTTTCTCTTAACAGAAATAAGAGATATCCTAAAAAAGTTAAGATAATGTTGTTGCATAAAGCACGTCGCCCGCCCTCATAAGAGACTCGCTCACATCTCCCACCCAACACAATAGGCTATGATGCCAGAAATTAAAGTGATCATACCACTAAGCATGGGAAATAAACATAAACGGACAAACAAAAAAAGACACCCAACTATTAGCATATGAACTGACTACTGCACTAGTAGGTCTGTGTTTTCAAAACTTTTCTATGGTTAGGCCTCTTGGTTTCACAGTTCTATGCCTCTTATCACTGAGTGCATTTTTATTTCTACTTATCTTTTTTTAATAACCAGTCATACCTTTTAAGAATGCATCATACCCAGCAACATAGTCAACCACACCTTCTCACTAGGGTAAAAGTTTCTCTCCCTTTGCTGCTCAGAGTTGTGCTGTGAATTTCCCTAAATTACTACTAAGCCAGAACTCCTTACTACAAAGTGAGGATCTCTCTGAGAGTATTCCCAGAATGTCTGTGAATATGACCTTTTTTTTTTTTCAAAATATCCACAATCTTTATAGCTCAGTCTGGTTAAGGATTCACTTTGTTCTGAGGTTCACTAAATTCACTAGACTCAATAAGGAGATTGGTGGTTGGCATTAGAGCAATTAGATCTTCATCATGCAAAAAGACACAGTCACTGGCTTAGAAAAATGAAAGTAAAAAATATTTTTTATGAAAGGTATTTTGTTAAGTATCAGTTCTCTGATACACTTCCCTTTTTCCATAACTCAAGCTTTTCCCTTTCCGAGAAACCCAAATTAATTCCACTTGACTCAAATTTACCACTCAAATACACCATGGGAACCAAATAAATGTACATTGCACAAATATGCATATATTAAGACTGACTTTATTCTCCCATCCCAACAGTGTCGCAGTGTACATGCACTTTACTTATTCACCAAACTCTCACTGATAGTACTTGTGCATTGTCTAGCTACCAATCAGTAGCCACTAGATGGCACCATATATCAGAGACCATGAGGATCCAGGAGTATGGACAAATATTTCAGTCCAAAATTGTCCCAATTTAAATGCTATAGGTAGCTCATTGGTCTGCTAAAACAAAAAAAACTGCCACCACTTAAGTCAGAAATATTTTACTTCACTGCACTCCAGTCCATGATGTGTAAGAAACAGAAAATGTAATGTTACAAGCCTGCAAAATTTGAATGAACAGTGCCTGACCACATAAAGACAACCTGAAGATGAAATCTAATTAAGATCCAAAAGTTTTCAAAGGTAACAAATGCTCAGTTGCAGGGAAACATGCATAAAATGATGCACAATAATTTATTTCATTTATACAAAATTGCAAACACAATAATGGCTTCTTGGGTTTAAAAACTCAAACATTACAGTTTATGGAATTAGAAATGCTAAAAGAAACAAATATTGTATGTGATATTGTTCTTTTCCTTAAAGGTCCAATGTGCAGGATTTAGGCTCTTCTGCAGAAATGCTATATAATATTCATAACTACGTTGTTCTAAGTGTATAGTTAACTGAAAATAGAATTTCTTTACCTAAGAACAAGCCGTTTATATCTACCCACAAAGCAGGTCCTCTTCCACGGAGTCCTCCATGTTGTTTCTACAGTAGCCCAGGATGCACAAACCAAACATTGGCTCCTGTTAGGACCATAAGTATTTTCACTACCATAGTTCTCCTACATGCTTGGCACATGGGAGAAGTTTCAGTTCTGCAACCACCCCAATAGACACCACTAAAACCTCACACTGGACCTTAAAGTAGAACCTTAAATGTAGGACTTCTGCATGTAGGGATTCTTCTATTTAAGTAAAGACAGTGAGAACTTTTTCTACCACTATTATTTGCAAAAAAAAATCAATGTCAGCAGCTGTGTATGAGCAGGAAATTGCTGATAGAGGCTCTCATCGCAGTGTGTTTTTAGTGGACCCAGTCACACTAATTACATTTTGCCGATTGCTCTCTAAATGGTATGTCTCTCACTGGGCTTCCTTTGCTGACGTTGATGCTGCAGGTTTATTTTGGCCGCTGGCTGATTGAGGGCAGCCCCTTTGTGATCCTGTTCGATATCGGCTCTGCAGCCTGGAACCTGGACCGCTGGAAGGGGGACCTGTGGGAGACCTGCCACATAGGCTTACCCTACCATGACAGAGAGGCTAATGACGCACTCATCCTGGGCTCCCTGATCACCTGGTTCTTCAAAGAGGTGAGGTGGTGTTCAGCCTGCTGTTCAGCACGCTGCTCATCTGTAAATTCCCAGAATTTCAACATTTTACCTCCTGCTGCCATTTCTGGCTAAAAAAGTGTGAAAGTGACCGTATGAATTTAGTAAACACTATTTCTAACTCAGATGCATCCTTTGTTTTCCAGTTAACAGACCAGCTGGGAGACAATCCCAATGTCATTGGTCATTTCCATGAGTGGCAGGCGGGTCCAGGGGTTATTCTCTCTCGCTCCCGCAAGATTCCCATGGCAACAGTCTTCACTACACACGCCACCCTGCTGGGAAGATACCTTTGTGCTGGGAATGCCGACTTTTACAACAACTTGGACAAGGTGAGAGACCAGGAGATCAAGTTGGTCATGCAGTATACAGAGGCATACACATACTGTCACTGCCTAAAACAACACTGTAACAGATATGGACACATTATTACTGAAGGCGACAATGCAGCTCCTGCATTATTCTTAGAGTTAAATGCAGCTTGTGCATAGTTGATACTGTGCGAACATGGCAACCTGATCTCACAGAAATACATGAAATAAGCACAACCTCTTAAAACCACATTATGAGGTTATGTGGTGGCAGGTTTTAGCACCACAGAAACAATGCCAATGGAAAGTCAATTAGGATCATTTGTTGTGATGGGCACATGAATTCCCTGACTCAGCGATGTCATGCAGTGGGTGGTGGTTAATGTTACAACCCCACAGGTAGTATAAAGAGAGGGAAGGTCCATGTAGGGAGGAGGTTAGGATGGTGGATGGGTCAAATAAATACAGGACTTTCACCCAGGAGACAGCTGTTTATGTCCTAACCCTAACCCTTACCCTAATACCCTAACACAGGACTTTCCGCCAGGAGCCTACTGTTTGTGTCTTATGTTAAAATGAAACTTAATGCTGACCTCTTTTAACTTTACATACTTGCGTCCTTTATGTAGTTACACCACTTTACAAAGTATTTATGTCCCGTACAAAACGAACATAGATATTTTCACCAAAAACACAATCTTTTTTTAAGTCTAACCAAGCAGTTTTGGTGCCTAAACCCAACCGTGCCACCACCATGTAATGCAGTGTTAAGTAGTCACGGTCATTTCACATATTTCTGTAAGATCATGTTGCACATGCTGATTATTTCTATAGGATTTCTATTTAGTTATCGAGGTTCAGGGTTAAAGGTTATTATACAACATATGGTTGGACAGCAAAACGCAGCTGTAGTCCCTCTATGCTACACACGCACACACACACACACAAAAAACAGCAGTGCATTTTTTGTAGTTTGCATGAGGTGGAGCAGCAGCAACAAAAACACAGGTGGATTCTCTGGGAAGATAATACAGCCAGCATCTTAACATTAAAAATGAGTGACACTTGATCATCAAGCATCCCAGATGCAAAGTTAGAGTCCACCTTCCCCCTTCCCACTGGAGTCCTGCACTTTGTTAGCCTGGACCACCGACTACAAATAGACTCCAAACAAAAACCAGAATACTTCCGATACTAAATCTTGTCTCATCGCCTATAGACTCAGAATCTGTGTATAGAGATTGCTCCACACCTGACCAATTACTGCATAAAATGGGCCTAACCCAGCTGTGTGTCTGGGGCCAGGGCTTTTAAACACTGTTTCACCATTCAACAAGTACTTTGTTTGAAACATTCTAACACTTTTATTCCAGTGCACACCATAAAACATGTTTCTTTCTTCTAACTTCTGGATAGTAGTCAAGACTGGAGTGGAGTGGAGCACTTGAGAGACAAAACTCTTGCATACGTTAAGACATTTTAAAAGGGTTTTTATTCTGAATTTTTGGAGCCAGCATTGAGCAGCCACTAGTTGTATGATTAATGCAAAAGAATTTAAGAATTTTGTCATTTGTTTCAATTGTCGGTCATCATGGTGGCTGCTTGCCGAAAAAAAGGTGTCTTCAAAATTCCAGGAACCAAGACAAAGACACCTGGTTTATTGCTTGATAACAGTTATTCATTAGCAGAGCTACAGTATTCCCCAGGCTTTGAAAAGGTCCAAGAGGTTAGAAAATACTCCCTCATGTAACTATTCCACCCCAAAAACAACATATGAAATCCCCATTTGATTCACCTTCTATGTTTTCACTAAAACGTGATTCTCACACCACCTATGGGAGTTACTGCACATGATTATCACATATGGACCTGAAGATCTCCCACATATTTCTTCTTGTCCATATCAACAACATTTTAAGATCAACAAACCATGATAATAGCAATATGCATTGGATTTGGGACACACATGCAAGCACACACAATTTTGAACATGCACGCACACATCCCACATAGTTCTGTTTCATCAGATTCATTTTCACATTCAAAGGTTCAGGTCAACAAATCGCAGTCCTTTACAGACACTTAGAGCATCATCAGCGGTGTTGAGATGTGTGTGGAGGGGTCATTGTGAGGTTTATAATTGGCCCTGCTCTCGTCACATCCTAAAGGTCAGCGTGCAGCTAAAGGCCACTCACTGGCTGAATGGATAATTGACAGACATCGTATTTACAACCCTTGACTTGAACAGGAAGTCCAGAGGCACTTCACGCCTGTTCTATTGAAGGAATCCTATCAATATGCATTTTCGGTTTTATTGACTGTGTCTTATTATGCATGCAGGATAGAGAAATCAAAGCAGAACATGGAACCAGAGAGCTGTATTATGTACCAGAGATACAGTACACATTGTAAATGAAATCAAAATAAAATATATTATATATATATTTTTTACATGTATAGTAGTTGTATGTGTTTAGCAAACATCATTTGAAGTTTAATTAGCAGTGGGATGCCAAAGTCACAGTTTGATTTACATTTATTTGTTCACATAACATCACTTCCTGTTAGTAAAAACAATGCTTTTACAGCCTCTACTCACCTTTAGACGCATGCAGAATCATGCAAACACACACAGATGCACATGAGTTGAAAGGCAGTCATTCAGATTTGGATTTCATAGGTCAGGGTTTCACAATACAGTTTATTATCCAGAAGCATATTAACTGCTGTAATACAAATTTAAGAAAAAAAGAAGCTGAAAACTAGTGTTTTGGTACTGTTTGTTCTAAGGATGTGGTTTTGCATGTTGCATGCAGGACTTAAGGCATCTACAGCTGCGATCTTACATTCACATTCACAAGGTTTTAATGATTTAATTATAAATACATTCCTTTGTGTCTTCAAAAATCAACTGACTCTTCTGAGAGTCAATGTGATATGCTCTTTGTCTACATTTCACCTTATCGGAATAAATAAATTAATAAATAAATAAAATTAGCTTATACATAGCATCATGCACCTGCAAGCTCTGTGGCACTTCTGTCAGGTCGAATGTTGAACTGAACATTGAGCATAGACTGTATGAAATAATGGACATCCCAATGTAAGTCTATGGGAAAAGGAGTTATGCACTCAATGACACTAAGTGGCGGACACAGAAGTTGTAGTTACATGGTTTGGCCACTATGTCACACTTCCTGGGGGCCTGGTTGAAATAAGTTCGTTTGTAGTCTCTATATACAGACTCTACATTCAGTGAATGTAGAGTCTGTAGGCAAACCCCGGAGATCTTGCCTCCGGAAGAAGAGCGGAAGAGCCCTGGTTTCCGGTGCTAGGCTGTATTCGGCATCTGCCGGAAGTCAGACGCCGAATACAGCCGATGGGTTCCAAGAATGGTTCATTTGTAACGTAACACAATGCAACATAGATACATTATGTATGTGAGTGAAGTAAGATTTGCAGTTTAATTAAATTTTCTTACTTTCAGTGCTTGAATACATTTTGTGAATTAATCCTACATTTATACTACAAGGTTAAAAATGAGAATTCTTAAATAATTGCCCCTCACACCGTACTGACCTGTGTGTTGTAGTTCAACATCGACAAGGAGGCAGGTGAGAGGCAGATCTACCATCGTTACTGCCTGGAAAGAGCGGCGGTCCACTGTGCTCACGTCTTCACCACGGTTTCCCAGATCACCGCTGTGGAGGCCAGCCACATGCTGCACAGGAAGCCAGGTGGGGAAGCTTTCCACTGTTGCACCTTGATTTTAACAGAGTTGATTTGATTGTTTTAAGCACAGTGATGACAGCTAGTTAGTCTATTCATCCATCCATTTGCCTATTAAAGCTGTCCTGTTGCTGTGTTGATGGTACAGATGTCGTGACCCCGAACGGGCTGAATGTGAAGAAGTTCTCGGCCATGCATGAGTTTCAGAACCTGCATTCCACCAGCAAGGCCCGCATCAAGGAGTTTGTCAGAGGACACTTCTATGGGTGGGTGGAGTTTATTCATGTAGCTCTGATTCATCTCATTTAAAGGTAACCCAGATTTTTGTTTTAAGAAGGGGCTGTCCAGTTTTGATTCATTACAGTAGAGACCATTCACATATTAACTGAGACAAAGTACTTCAGAAAATTATGAATTTCTGTCATTCTTAATTCTTCTCAGTCACCTGGACTTCAACCTGGAGAAAACCCTCTTCTTCTTCATTGCCGGACGCTATGAGTTTTCCAACAAAGGAGCTGATATTTTCCTTGAGTCACTCTCCAGACTCAACTACCTACTGCGGGTGAGATCCTTTAGTCCTTTGCATTCAGTAGCACTTTGCTGTACGCATTAAATGTGCAAACCTCGCAAAAAGTACACCTTCAAACGTTATCTAACCTTGTAAAGAAAAAAGATGAGAGTATAATCTTCAGCATGCATTCCTGTACGCTACCACTTTGTCCTGATCCCCCTGTTTTTCGTTCCTCACTCTATCCACAGGTCCACAGAAATGATGTAACAGTGGTAGTTTTCTTCATCATGCCAGCTAAAACCAACAACTTCAATGTGGAGTCACTGAAGGGACAGGCAGTACGCAAGCAGCTCTGGTATGTCCCGATGTGGTTTATATAACAGTTCAATACCAGCATAACAACCCCATCGACAGAATAAATGTTGACATTGTACGTTTCTGTGAACCATGGATATTTTACATTTGTAGGTTATTATGTAGCAGATAAGTTGAAAGTGCACATTTCAGCAAAGGTGCAGTTAACATGTGGTTAGGTTTGGGTATTTCCTGCTGAGGATAAAAAAAACTATCCTCAGCAGGAAATGCAGAAATGTCTCACTAAAAACCAACTGCTTTTCGTTGCGCCATCCCAGCTGGAAATCCAGCAATGTCTCAGTACCGTTCAAATACTTTTCATGACACTATCCATGGCAGGAGACACAGCAATGTAAAAAACAAATGTTTTTTGTTGCACTATACCAGTTGGAAACACCATGACGGGTCACTATGAAACACCCATGTGTGATGGCCAAATGGTTGCTGAAAACGCAGCAATGACTCGCTAAAAAATAGTTTCAAACAGTCTTCGAAAATAGTCTGCAGCTTGGCAGGCATCTTGCCTATAGGCGGAAAAACAATGGCATTGACTGATCTCTTATGGTCATGCAAATAATGACTGTTGTCCCTAAGAAGCAAATGCAAAGGGGGCATGATAGTGTAGTATAACAAAACAAAAAAAGGAGGAGGTTGAGGTTGATGAAGTGTTTCTATCGCCATAAGCAAACATTGGTTTAACCATGTCTATGATTTTTCCTCAACCTTAACCAAGTTGTTTTTATGCCTAAACTAACCACAGCAGTGGCAGATAAAAATGGTAACATAAACCACTTTTGGAGTGGGGAACCAGCAGGCAAGCTTCTAGTCCCACACTGGTTTGTCGAACCTCTAGTCTAGACCTGAAAATGTAGGACCTTGATGGAGAGGATGGTCTCTCATGTCGTCCTCATAGAGAGTTAATAATGGAAGTTTCCATTTTCATATTATTGTTTAGGACATGATATGTGTGTGGTTAAGCAATGCTAGTGACGTTCATTAGTTAGGGGTGAATGGTAAATATGAAGGTACAGTTCTTAAGAAGGTTTCCATTTGGCTTTTACAGGGATACAGCTCACACTGTGAAGGAGAAGTTTGGTAAAAAGCTGTATGATGCTCTGTTAAAGTAAGTAAATGGACACTGTAAGTGTACCTATAGCTTTATTGATTTTACACTGTGTACATCAACACGGCTTCTCTGTGATGAATGGTGAATGTTCTGTGTTAGTGTTTAATGGTCTGCTCTGTCCTCAGAGGGCAGATCCCGGACATGAGCTCCATTCTGGATCGAGACGACCTCACCATTATGAAGAGAGCCATCTATGCTACTCAGGTACTGGAGCTTTTCTCTTCTCTTCCTCTGTTTACAGTAAACATGTAGTGGCATCAGTTTGAGTTGTTTGTTGTGTCTTCCATATGATTTCTTTTTTTAAATTTGTGTAGCATGGCAAAACATAAGTTAATAAGAAGGAACATAACAAAGTGAGTTATCAAGAAATAACACTCGAAGCAGAGACTACAGCAAACAACATCAGGGTTAGATAAGACTGGGGTAAGCTTGCCTGTGGCGCCCAGTGTTCTAGGTCCAGCTCTGCCTAGAGTTATTCCTAAAGTAACATAAATTATAACATAACACTTACATTATTAATTATCATTTCATTGTTCTTTAACAAAATAATTATTAACTGAAGTTTAATTAACTGTCAGTTTACCATTTATAAATGATGGTTATTGTAGGTGTTTTCCAAAGATTACATTTTTGCGAGTTCAGTAAATGTGTTGTGCACTGACTAAAAGGCTTCCTCTGTAATGATAACAATTTATTGGAAGTGTACTGAGTAAAATCCCCGTTTTCCATATTATTAGCATTTCTCAAGTCAAGTCCTTCTCAGGAACCTTCTTGTAACCTGACATTTCCTTTCTAGGAAACCATTAAATAATACAAAGAATTACTGGTGTTGTTTTGTGTTGTGAGGTGGTGTGAGCCAGTAATCAGATATCATTAGTTTCAGATGATGCCTGCACTGATCAATACCTCTCAGAATCACACTCTGAAAGGTTACGAGACGAGGACCACTGACTCACAGTCATTAGGTCATTTCTCCTCTCTCTGCTGCTTTAGTGTGGGTTTGAATGTGTGTGACGTGTAGTGTATGGATGCAGTTATGTAAACATTAACAACACTCTGTCCTTAGGACCCTCACAGCGAATAAGGCAAAACTCCACCTTTGTTTTTCCCCCTTTAACGGGGGAAAACAAACTGAATACACACATTGTTTCTCTGTCCAGTGGTGTTCACAGTAGACTTCATCATGTTTCAGTCTCTTATCCTGATACAATGAGTATGAGCTTAATTAACATTGATATCCTTCAGGGACATTGATTTAAATGAAATCACAACAACATTCAGGACCCTGACCCCATTAAACTGACCTTATGAGGATATAGATCTTACATGGACTGTCAAGCCAATCACCAGAAGAAAATGTTGGCATTGTATATGTTTCTGTAGGCCACAGGTACATTATATTTATATGTTATCACGTAGTGGATACGTTGAAATATCCATTTTTGGAGGCTTGATAACAAAAACAACCACTTTGTGTGACAGAAAAAAACGGAGAAAAAAAACTGGAGAAAAAACGATGTCTCGGAAAAAAGAACCGCTTTTCATGGCACTGTCCCAAGTTCAAAACACAGCAATTTCACAATAAAAAACAACTGCTTTTTGTGGCGCTATCGGGGCTGGAAACACAACAGTGTCTCGGTAAAAATGATAACCGCTTTTCATGACTATCCAGCTCTAAACGCAGTGATGTCTCTGCAAAAAATTACCGCATTTCAGGGCACCCACTAGCTCACCTGGTAGAGGAGGCGCCCCATGTACAAAGACATTATCCTTGTTGCAGTGGGTACATGTCATTGGTCCGACAGCCCATTGGTCCGACATCCCATTAGTCTGAAGGTCCGTGGTGCTGAACGGCTCCCGGCGGGCGTATTTCTGCCTTGATGGTGCGCTGTGACTGGCTCTGGGTCAGCTGGGAAAAGCTTGAGGTGAAGCAGGCTCACAGCTTATGTGTTTGTCACTTTCTTTTTCATTTTAACCCACACCATGATCTTTTCCTGACCCTAACCAAGCGGTTTTTGTGCCTAAACCTAACCAGACCTTAACCACAGGGCATCATGATGATTTCGGAACGGACTTCGGAACAATGGGTTTAATATGGTCGGAACAATGGGATGTCGGACCAATGGGCAGTTCCCGCTGCAGCAGCCACGGGTTTGATTCCGGCTCACAGTCCTTTGCTGCATGTCATCCCAGACATCTCGCCAAGGTGTCACTGCAGCCACAATCACCTCTACCTCAGCTTATGTAATGCTTCCCTATATAAATGTTGATATGATAACTATAAAGCATACAAATGCAATGTATATGTGGCATGCAGAAACATATATTGCATCAACATGCAAAACATACAGCATTTTCTGAATGGGCTGGTGTTTTCTTATATTTTGTCAGGTATGAAAATGTGGTGCTTGAAAATTCCATCACAGAACCACACAATCCAGACACCAAACTGACCTGTGCCTGTCTTTTAAATAAAACTGTATGCACAGAGACACAGCCTTCCTCCAGTGACCACTCACAACATGCAAGACGACTCACAAGATCCCATCCTGTCCAACGTTAGACGCGTCGGCCTCTTCAACTCCAGGACCGATCGAGTCAAGGTAGACCTCATATTTCTGTATTTACTGTTTCACATATTGCAAATAATGACAAGTCCACGTTCAAGTGGAGACTAAAGCTCATGTTTCTACTCTACATTTCTCAGATTATCTTCCACCCTGAGTTCCTGTCCTCCACCAGTCCTCTGCTGCCGATGGACTATGAGGATTTTGTTCGTGGCTGTAACCTTGGAGTGTTCCCCTCTTACTATGAACCATGGGGATACACACCTGGTAACTTCACAGTTGGGACATAAATCTCCACAGCAGACACACGAGGCAATGACGGAGTAGTTCTTCAGCATTTTGTATAGCCGGTGCACACTTTACAATATGGCAGTCTATGAGCCCATGAAGCCTGGAAACCTGTTCAGGCTTACAGTGCATGTTGTGCTGCATCATTAATGCATGACGCATACTTTGTATAGCAATCTGTAGAACACGCTGTGCTAAAAGGCACTTTACATAAGCTGACATCCTGTGTTCACACTTCGAGCTACAAAGCAACAATGTGGCCAGCTGCATTAACACTGAATTGCCCTTGAAGTGTTGCTCGTTGGCGTAGTTATGTCATCCTGGGCTTGTATGTGTCTGCTACTTGTGACAAAGCACCCCGACCAAATGTCATCTAAATTTTGTATTTGGTCAAAAAAATATTTATGCTTTAATTAATGTCTGGACCTTATTTACGAAACAATACATGCAGTAGTCAGTAACAGGGAGAGACAAATAATTTTTTGATCCCATTCAATTGTGTCATATGATGTTTGTCAATTTAAAACCTAATTTTGCAAGTCAAGAAGGTTGCTGTATGCCGTGGGTTCATCGCAGTACTCCATAGTTTTTTGTGAAACTCAGCTCAGTGAAGTACATCTGTTGTCTGGCACAATATACGTCACCTTTACCAGCTAGCTAACTAGCTATCTGGGTAATTTACTTATGTTCCACGCGCAAATGTAAAAATATCTATGTATCTAATATACCTGATGTCTTTTATCCAGTGACTCCTGTTTTTTTATCAGCCAGGAAGCAAAGAAAAGAGCAACGAGTACGATACAAAACGCACAGGCATCGTAGCTTCAGTGAGAGAGAACACTATGATGTCATTTACATGACTTGTGTAAATGTTGTAATTACATATTTTCAGTCTTATACTTAAACAGTTTTAGGACAAACTTTCTTAACTTGCAGAATGATTTTTTAAACTGACAAACATTGTATGTGTAATTCATGGTGCAATTCAAATCAAAAATTATTTGTCCCTCCCCATTAACTATGTACACATTTTCTCTGAAATTTCTCTACAAAAGTGGATACTTTTGGATTTTACCTATATATTTCCTCCAGTTCCATGGTGGTCCAGTGAAAAGGGAGAGACTTTGGCTCTCTATACATAGAAGGCTTGCACAGAGTGCCCCAGGAATGAGACCTAAAATTTGGAAATTAGTTTTTTGCATTGTTGCAACACGTGGTTTCCTCGTCTCAAAGTTGATGGGGGTTTTTTTATGGGTTTTTTGCTTAGATGCCCAAAATACGTTCTGTGCTGAACACAAGCTTAAGAGACTTTAATGTTTTGTTCTACAGCATAAAATGCGTAGTTGGATACTTGTGAATTTTGAAACTTTTATGCGTCTCAAAAAAGGCAGCTGCTAACAAGTGGCTAAATGAGATGATAGAACGTCATCATGCCAAACATGGCTTCACAGCCTCACTGTGGTAGGGACGCTAATTTATGCAACTGTGGTGTATTTCTTTATAGCCCCACGTTAGCTTTTAGTGATTGCATTTGGGCTTCAAAACTCATTAAAGTGGTGTTCATTTGTGAAGATTATCTTATATCTGTATATCATAAATGTTTGGACTATTGCAGAAAATAAGCTCTGTGACAAACAAAGTCCAGTGGGAAAATCCCATAGGTTTTTTGACGAGGGAACCAAGGCAATGCTACGTTCACATCAGCCTACAGGTCGTCATCCCTGAAGCATGCAGTGTTTGGTGTCGGTTTGAAGTTGCATGTCACTGGCTTACATTGTAAAAGACTTGTAGCTTGTTGCTGTGTAGCTCGTTGTGTGAACATAACATTAATCCTCAACATTCTGTATATGAAATTCACCCAGCTGGTAGTCTTTGATCAGCACACTATTTAATGCAATGAGACGATCTTGTCATACTCTTTCTGAGCTGTGTTGTTCCTCCCCAGGTGAATGCACTGTAATGGGCATTCCCAGTGTGACCACCAACCTGTCAGGTTTTGGCTGCTTTATGGAGGAGCATGTGTCAGACCCTGCTGCCTATGGCGAGTACACACACACATAATAATTATATAATAGGTTATAACAGGTTATAATCAGAACTATTGCTGCCCTTTCACTTTGAGATTTACATGACTGTCCACATGCTGACACTGATACTGTCTGTGTTTTTTCTTTTCCCTCCTGCACTACCCCTCTTGTCCCTCACCGTCTCTATCAGGCGTTTACATCGTGGACCGGCGGTTCCGTGCAGCCGAGGAGTCCTGCAACCAGCTGACCCAGTTCATGTTCAATTTCTGTCAGCAGTCTCTGCGCCAGCGCATTATCCAACGGAACCGAACTGAGAGGCTGTCTGACCTGCTGGACTGGAGATACCTGGGACGGGTCTGTCTTTGCTGCACCAGCAATTTATCAATTTAGCAATTTACAATATCTATCTGGCAGAACACTTTATTCATGTCTGCACACAGTTCATTAATGGAATCATAATAATCAATAAAACAGAAAGAGATTTTCATTAAACCATGTTTAAGATGCACATTAGATATGACACTGAGCTGTAAGTCAGTGTAGCTTGAGTAGTAAACAAGTTCAAGACCAAGAAGTTAAGTTCTTGTACTGGACGTAAACGTGGGCCAGAAACAGGAAGTCTTTTCACTGTGTTCCCTCCGTAAACCCATCTCCTTTTTCATGTTACTGTTTTGAAACAGAATCGTAAAATGCCTTTTAAAAATTTTCAAAACAAAGGCGAAAGCTTGAGCTGAAGATGTTGATCTAGCCAGATGTTCTGTCAAATGTTACTCAGTTTTTGATGTCCATCTCTGCTGATCTGTCATTTGCAGTTCTACATACATGCCCGCCATCTGGCACTTCATAGAGCATTCCCAGACAAGTTCAAAATAGACCCCATGGCCCCAATGAAGGTAAGGAATACTGTCCAAGAAATCTGGAAGTTTGTGAATGAGTGAGTGAACAGGAGAATGAACACCTCTGCCAAGGCCCCAGAGTCATCAGCATAAGTTATTTTAATAATGAAAAAACTGTTTTTACATTTTGGATCTACACCTGCAAACAGATGCCTTTAGTATCCAATGCAACTGTTTTATGTGCAGTAGTTCATGGGAAATTAGGTAAAATACCATATCTATGTTAAGAGATTATTTTTAAAATTCTTGGATGTGGGGCTTTGTCCCATATTGCCTCCCATTTACTGCCCCTTGACAGCAATTCTTGTGACTGCTTAAAGGGATAGGTTACCCCTAAATCAAAAATACATATTTTCCCCAGATTGTTTTGGTGTGAGTTGCTGAGTGTCGGAGATATAAGCCATAGAGATGTCTGCTGTCTTTCCAGTATAATGAAACTAGATGGCACTGAGCTTGTGGTGCTCAAAGCACCAAAAAGAAAAAAATATATAAATTTGAAAAACTCAACAGCAATGTCTCTTTCCAGAAATCATGACCTGGTTACTCAAGATAATCCACAGACCTTGTTGTGAACAATGACATGTAGGAACTGTTTTCTTTCTAAACTACACCCACCAACCAGATCACTGCACAGAAGGAAGCAGGTCACCTAGGACCACTGAACAAGCTAATATTGCAACTCAACCCATTAATGTTTACATCTCATGCTGTCATGAACACAAGCCTCTCATCCATGAGTAGATGTAGCTTGGAAGTAATGGGCTTGGGAGAAGGTATCTGCTATTTTAAATCCAAAAGGCTCAAGCCCAAGTAAGGTCAAGAGTCAATAGTGTTTAAGTCCAAGTTGACTTAGGCTATGTCAGTTCAAGACCAGTAAAGGGCCTCAGTGAGATTGAAATAGTGAGAGCATGTAGAAGCGCCCAGTAGACGGTAATATGGCGGAGTGAGAAGAGGCTATAACCGCATGATGGTCTTGTTGTGATGTTCTGCATTAATGCCAGCTCAACTGAAGATGAAGTCTGTAATTGATATCCAAACATATCACAAGTCTAAAGTCATTAAATTTTTGACTCGAGTCTGACTTGAGTCCAAGTTATGTGACTCAAGTCCACACCTCTGCCATCTAATTAGTATGTACCTTTATTAAGCAGGATAAGCCCCTTGAGATGAACCATCTCGTTTACAAGGGGGTCCTAATCATACAGGCAATAGTTCCATTATATTGGAGAGAAGGCAGACATCTGTAAGTGATATCTCTGACACTCTGCAACTCACACCAAAACAATCTATACTGATAAATAGCACTACATAAGAGGAAAAATATGTATTTTTTATTTTGGCATGAACTATCCCTTTAAGAGTGCTCAGAGACTGGGCCAGAGGGATGTCCAGGTGTGGTTCAGACAGACAGGTAATTGGCTTGTTACTATCAGAACCTCTGGATGATGTGACTCCTTAAAAAGTCAATCCAATGTCAACAAAGAGACGCAAAATGACTAAAATGTTTATTACTGCAAAAAAACAGGACTTTAAATTGGAGTCTTACCAGATATTTTCTCATTTCCCAAATGTGCCCCAGTCAGCCCCCTCCCATTAAAAAGCATTACGGCACTACCATGCTTCCCACCCTTATTCATTTTATGCAGCAAGAGTTCTCACTGACAAATAAGCAAACAACAACTTTTAAGCACAATATCTCAATGGTGCTACAGACTGAAAAGCATCTTTCAGCAGCTCCCAGTGAATTGCTGTCTGAGAGCCAAGAACGGGGTCTCACTCTAACTGCACATGCATGTACATGAGAATCCCTCTCATGTACTGACTGACACACACACATTGGATACTTTAGATTTCACCCACATTTGTCAGACTTTAATTGACAGCCTAACATTTGGATGAATGACAAGACATTATCATGGAGTGTGCTGATGCCGATCCCCGCAGAATTAGATAAAATAAGACTCCCCCTTTCTACCTTTGCTCATCCTTTTTGATTCAAGGACTGTGATTTATACTATATCTGATACACAATTTTCAGGTTCGTTACAAATTTCGAATTTCAAACACAATTAGATTAAATGTTAATTCGTCATTGACATGTATTAATACAAGAGTGATAAACATCTAGTTCCAAAAAAGGGAAAAAGAAAAAAGCGAAAAGGATGGGAGGGAAAAAAGAGGGATACAAAAGAAAGAGAAGAGATGAAGAAAGGAACTAGGAAAGAGGGGGACAAACAAAGGAAAAGTAAAGAAAGTGGTAAAGAAAGGAGGGAAAAGGAGGGTTGTGAATGATGGAAAGAGAGGAGTGACAATAAAACTTGACCTGACTTAAATACAATTTATGAAGTAACTGATAGTGATAAATTATTTATTTGCAGAAAATCTGAAGTCTCTGTTAGGTAGTTTAGACGTGAACAGAAAGCCGTTTGGAAAACAGAAAATCTTAAGGTATACTTTATAAAACTTTATGCAGAGTAATCTTCAGTAACATCTTTGTCTCCTCAGACTGAGGGTTTCCGTTACCCCCGACCCTACTCAGTGCCCCCCTCTCCCTCTGCCTCCATCCACTCCACCCCCCACCACAGTGATGTGGAGGATGATGATGACGAGCCCTATGATGAAGATGAGGAGGCTGAGAGGGACCGACTGAACATCAAATCTCCCTTTGTGCTGGGTACCATACCAGAGGGCAAGAAAAAGCAACCTGGAGAGTCAGGAAACTGAGATTTACCTTGAGTAGCTGCAGATTATACACAGGTTAATGGAATGTGAGGAGAATAAATTAAAAAAATAATAAAGTTTCTTGAACGTTAGTGGATTTTGAAACAAAATCATTAAAGGCCTGAAAGTGTAATGAAAATGGATGGTCTTGATTGCACTGGTTTGAAATGTACTAGTCTTGATCTAGGTCCAACACAGTCCCAGACCTCGCTTCTGAAGAAATAAGCTGTCTTTGTGGGATTCCCCAGGGCTCCATTTTTGGTCCACTGTTTTCAATATACATGCTTCCCCTCAGTCAGGTCATACAGAATAAAGATGTTGTCCTCAGTTGCTATGCAGATCATATTCAGTTATATGTTATAATGCAATCCAGTAATTCTAGCAGCCTAATTCATTTAAGTGTTTGCCTTAATAACAGTGAAATTAAAAGATAAATAAATAAAACAATTTTACAATTTCACACCCTGTGTGTCTGTGTTAATCAGTTATCTCAGACAAATACACATCAACAAGTAATTTTGGGTATGGATATTTTTTTTTTCTCTTAAATCATTGCATATTTATAGATTTGAGACAAAATGATAAAAGGCCTAAAAGTGTTACAAAAGTAGATGGTCTCGATTGAGTTGGTTTGGAATATACTAGTCCTGATCCAGGTCCATCACAAAACCCAAACTTCTCCTGTAAAGCTCTTAATTAAGCTTCAGTGGTCGTGTTCCCCAAGGCTCCATTCTTGGTCCACTGTTGTTCTCAATATGCATGTGTTCTCTCAGTCATGATATACAGAAGAAAGATGTCGTCCCCAGTTACTATGCAGATGGCATACAGTTACATGTTCTGGTGCATCAAGCAATTCTAGTAGCCTAACCAATCAAGTTCAAGTTCAAGTTCAAGTGCTTTGTCACATGTACGCATACAGTGAAATGAAAAAAAGAATATATATCATTTGCTGTTAAACCTCACTGTTGATAGCTCATCAACAAATTAGGTCCAACACTGATGTCGGGCGATAAGCTCTGCTATGTATGTGGACAGGGGCATGTAGAGGTCGGTGGCTCGAGAGATATGACTTGAGTCAGACTCAAGTTGCAGATCTGAGGACTTAAGACTTGCTTGGCTTACATTAAAAGACTAGACTTGACTTTTACTTGGTATTAATGACTTGAGACTTGAATTAGTATTGAAACAGATGACTCGAAAGGACTTGGATTTTTAAAATTAAAGATTTGCATTATTCTGGATATTGCAAAGTTATCCATTGTTTTTGAAACACGATTGGCTGATTTCTAGTGCAACTTGGCAACCTACTCAGATGCAGTAGACCAGCCTAGCTTTACACACGGGGCAGCTATCATGAAGGGGGCTGGTCCAAAAATAGTAAAATTTGGATCCAGGATTATGCTGTTGATGATGGTTGTAAGAACACAGTTCTTACAGTTCTTACGAAGTGACATGACCACAACATCCAATGTCATGCATCTCTACAAAATCAAAAAAGAAAGTTATGTGAATGTGTCTTTTTTTTGTTAACTTATTAGCTTATTGGCTGATCATAATTGACTTGAGACTTACTTGACCTGAGCAATGACTTTACTTGTCTTGCTTGACTTAAAGCAGGCACTTGACTCGACTTGGGACTTAACTGTGACTTGAAGGTTAGGACTTGATGCTTGCTTGATACCTGCACATGTGTGATCTACCCCCTCTTCTTGGGGTGCATGTACTTTTGGCAATACAGTGTATCATATTTATGGACAGATGTAATTGTACATGTAACGTCTCTTTCCCTTATGTTCTATCCTGTTATTAAAAAAAAAAAAGAGAGAGTCATTCTCAGAGATAATTCCCCACCAAAAAATAGTGTATGTTCACTAAAAAAAAAAGAAATCATCTAAAACAAACAAACAAAACAAAACAAAAAAACCCCACCAACTCTCTTTGGTTACGTTTGTCATTTACATGGCTATATTACAGAATTTTGATTAATTTGTATGCATTGTAATTGATATGCCATCATAAATGCTGTATGTGTTCTACTTTGTAATCACAAAAGTAGAACCCTCAATATTTTGTCAAGGAACTTTACAAAACTCAGTCAATCTTAAACCAGTAGTGCTATGAATTCAAACTCTTTTTATTAAAACATTACATTTCAAACATAGTCAGAGAATTCGTATTTACAAAACAGCTGTTTTTCTTCTCACAGAGCTGAACACCTTCGACTGAAAACAAAGACAGTGTTGTCTGGCAGCTTTAAAAATGTATGAAAGACGGTCAGAAGTATTCTCTCTTCCACACCGGCAGCTCCTGGAAATACACTTCATCTGGGTTTTCATCTGCTAAATAAGAGAAAATGACCATTAACTTATAGAATTCAAATATAAGGTTTGAATCAAAGAAAGAGCAAATGACACAATCACTCATCTGGATGCCTTGAATGCCCTCAAAAGTTTTTCACTACTCATTTGTCCCTTTTTTTTAAAAAACAAAAAAAAAAGAAAGAAATTTCATGATCATAACATGCAGTTTTCTTTTTTACCCCAGTTTCCTTGAATTTCATAAATAAATGACCTTGAAAGTATTGGAAAGACCCTTACATTGGATTTCTAAGTAGGTGTTCAGAGAAAGGACAGTAAGATACTCTTGTGTTTAAAAAAAGAAAACGTCACAAAAATGATGAACTTGAAATCCTACTGTTTTACATTTCCGGTTTGTTTGATTAACTCACTAAAATCTCTGTAAACATTGTCCTTTGTCTGTCCAGCTGTCATAATCCAGAACTCTGATTTTATAAAAATGGTGATACACTCAACTGGGTGACCTTCAATTTTTCTGTGCGCTCAAAGCAATAAGCTTTATAAGCAACAGAAAACATTTGTTGACTTTTTTGCTTTGGGTTTCACCTAACAGACTACATACAGGCTGCCCATATCCTCTGATACTGGACGCTGTCCAGTGCTGAATTACTGAGGAGTGATGAAAGCACTGTCACCTCTTATACTTTTTTGGGGGGTTAAAAATCAATCAATCTATATTTTGATCAAAAAGTTACCAATACAATATTATCCACAAATAAAATTGGGTGTCATTTAAAGTCGGTCTTAATAATACAGAAATTCACACGAATTAAATTGGTTTCCTTTCCAGCCTTTTTTTTCTATTATCATTGCAATCATTTTAGTCATACTCTGCTATTTGCTTTTGAGAGAAATATATTGGCTTAACTGTCCTCCCGCACTGCTGAAACCAAACCTCAGCTCTTAAAGCTATGGTTGGCAACTTTTATGTTTTAAAAAGTGTCATATTTGGTGAAACTGTCACTATATCCTGATAGTGCTACATGAGATGGATAATATGTGAAAAAAAAAAAAAAACAACCAGTCAGAGCTGAGGAGTCTCTAACGCAGCTTTCAATCATGACAATCACTGCTAGTGAACTGCGGTCAAATTGTCAAACTAGGCAGCGCTGATCAAATATGATCAATATTTTGTTACCGCATTGCCTATTTCTCGCCTAAAAAGTTTTCAGAAACATATTTTAGTGTACTGTTTAGCTGTAAAATAAGACAGTTTGTGACCTGGCTGCCATGTTGGTTAGAAATCCAGTCTTAACCAAATACAGCCCGTCAACCTTTCACGTGTTGTGGATTCTTATAGGTGCCATCAGGAGCACTATGTGGAGGCAAAGGAACCTGATTTTTTTCAGATTATCCGTCTCATGAACTACTGTCAGGATATAATGACAGTTTCATCTAATATGACAAACAGCTCTTTTTTTAAATCAAAGTTACCAACTGTGTCAACCTGCATGTGTAGATGTAGTTGCTGTGTGGCAGCTGGTGCAGATGCTGCTCTCACCTCCCTCTCTGGCCTGCTGCAGGAAGTTAAGCAGGACGGTGGCTGCCTGGTCCACGCTGAGCTTCTCTGTGTTCTGACTGCGGGTCTCTGACAGGGAACACACACCAGATACAGATTATCTGTCTGCTTTATGTGCCAAAGGTGATTCCAGCTTCAAGACTGTTTTAGGAAGCTCTTGGGGAAATTTCTCCAATAAAATAAAGACGGTTAACAAAGTGTGTTCTGAACTACACAAAGAATTTTTGTTTAGTAATGTTCATGTACCTAAGTGTAATGTGTCATAGACATCTCCTTCTTTTCGGTCCTCTGAGATGAACCTTCGTCCCTCTGGGGGAAAAAATAAAATAAAAAGATGCATCTAATACTCACTTTTTGGAGGGTAATGCCTAGAAACAGATACACAAGGATTCATCTTTCTTCTAGAGTGTTCTTAAATAAGTACATTAGATATAATGAAGTAAATAATAATATCAATAAGCATATAGATTATGTGAAATACACATGCAGCCCAGAGGCCAGAGGAAAATGTTCGTATAGCAAACCATAAATACGTTACATTTGTACATTTCATATGTATCATACCATACCATGTGAGCTGACTTAGTCATTGGAGGTGTAGAGGACGGTGGATGATGTCACACCCAGGCAAGATGCCTGCCAAGCTGCAGACCACTGTTCAAGACCAACAAACTACATAACCTGTTTCCAGTTGCTTTTTAGGCACCAAGCATGGGAGTTTGGTGGCGTCCTGCCACTGTGTTTCCAGCAGCATTTTAAGTGATCCATCACTGTTTTTCCAGTAGGCTTTTTCGGCACAAAAAGCACTTGTTGGTTTTACAATACACTGCTGCTTTTCCAACAGGGGTTGTGCCACCAGTGTCAGGTATTTTAGGCCAAAATATGATCTTTTCCTAACCATAACCAAGTTGTTTTTGTGCCAAAACCTAACCACACATTACCCACAGCATTGTTCAAACATAACACTTCAAAACTACATAATAACGTGCAAATGTAACGAATCTGTGGTTTGCAGAAACGTACAATGCCAAGACTTCTGGCACCTGGGCTGACACATGACACTGTAAGAAATCCAAAAGGTGTTTCAAAATCAGTTCATTCTTTCCATAATAAAAGAGTGGTTTTATCAATTAACAGCAGCTCTTATTTCACAATGATCGTTTTTAAAAAAAAATTCTCAAAGTCACAAACTTTGAATTGCTTGTCTTGACTAGATAAAGGGTTCCCAAGGACGCATTATGAATTAAAACTGACTGCGGAAAAACTGCATTACATAGTGCGTCTGTCTTTAATCATATTTAAATGTTTGTTTGTTTTTCTAAAAAATGAACACTTTGAGTCTGCATACAGACATGGGATCATTAGGTAGATACATACGAGTGCCCTTGAGGTACAGCATAGCCTGCGGCGTCCAGTTTCTCCGTTGGAAAGAGCCCTTTAATAAAGAAACAAATCTTAAAGCTGCATACATGTAATGCTTGTAACGCTGACCTTCTGTAATCTTGCAATCGCATTTCATATTTGGAGCTCTCTTCCTCCAGTTATTAAGTGAAAACATCACCGTCGATAGTTTAATAAAAAGAAAACAGTTTTACCTTCGGTGCGCTCCACGACTGCGAGATAAATGATGCCAGCAGTAACAGGCTGAGCACATAAGTTGATGTGACGGCCTTCAAACCCTGTTGGAGATAAAGGCAAATGGAAAGAAACTTGTAACACAGCAGCGTCCTTCTCAGAGAAAGATTTAATCGGGCATGTGCGTTTTTGGAGCGTAATTTACGCACGGGGTACGCGCATTAGAAGAAGATTAACCAAACATTGAATTCATTTAGTAACTTTGAAAATTGAGTGCAAGATAGTATAATTGATATATGTAGATACGAACCATGTTTTATTATTTATTTTATCAGCAGCAGTCCAATGGTGCGTAAAATGCCAGAAAAGCTTTCTTTCGTTTCAAAGAATTGTCGATTTTTTTAGAAAGCATTTTAATTAAAATATTATTAAGCTTATTTTCTCCAATAAAGTGTAGGAGGAAAAACGCATCTCACTATATTCTCCACATCTCTACACTGTACTTACTTTCATGGCGTCGAAGCTCCTGGTGTCCAGCAGAGAGGATGAGAGAGTTGAGGATGCTTGCTGGCGGTGTTCCCTCTCCCTGTATTTATATCCTCCGGGACGGGGAAGCCTCCATGCTCTGCGCTCCTTCACCATGCCAGCAGCGATAGGTCACGCCAATTTGTTGAATCGGGGGCGGTGAGGGGAGTGAATGAACGGATCCATCGATCGATTCAGCTCCTTCCATTGAGAGCTGGCCTGTAAATACTTCTGAATTAAACCTGCTGCCATAAGCACATTCAGCACCCTCGATGTAGTTTTTCAAAATTACACATGTTGGTGCTGCAGGTCATTGTTGTTAAATGTGGATGGGCTCTGGGGGATGTTGTCACAGTTGATATGAGAGGTAATATGTCCCCCTCCGTGGGAGTATTGATATGTTTGCACCTTGCTCACTGGAGCATGACGAGAAGGAATGAGAGCTGGATTTTATGAATCAAAAGGCCACACTTCCAATTATGAATGTAATTATCCATGAGTGAGTGAGACTGGGAGCACTGAATTTTCCTGTCAGTGATGTCAGACAGTCTAAGTAATACCATTAACTGTCAGGGCAGCACCCCCACCCCTTCCCCGGACACTCAGGCAGGAAGATTGCTACTTTTAGAAATACTGAGGTCATGAGTCCAAGTTTGCCTACCACTGCTGCCCCACTGAAGAATTACCTCAACATGTATAGTGTTTATTGGTTTATTATACTGTCATACACAAGCCACATTTCTTTATCAAACTAGAATTACTGCCTCATGATTGTATACCTATACAAATACGTTAACTTGCAGTAACAGTTTACAGTAATGTCTGTCTAGACTCATATGTAGCCATGACTGTAGACAATGCGTCAGATATGGATGTTACTGCAGGGATGCTACAAATTCTAAAATGTGAATACTTCACACACATCTTACGATCATCTAATCATCTATACAATCAGCACAGTTTCAAGATGGACACCCAAGATTAATGTCACTAATTCAGTATCTGACCAAATGTCAGTGACCTTTGAACATCAAACAATTCATCACAAAGTCCACGTGGGCATTTGTGCCAATTTGAGGAAGTTCCCAGAAGGACTTCCTAAAATATCATGTTCTTGTGAATGGAATGTATGGATGGATGCTTGCGTCCATGGCATGAAAAAAGGCTATTGGATTACCAAATTATTAAATTTTGAATTCTTGATTTTTGGTCAAAACATGTTTTGTGAGGTTACATTGACCTTGACCTCAGCCATCAAAAGCTAATCAGTTCATCCTCGAGTTCCAGTGGAAGTTTGTGCAAACTTGAGGAAATCCCCTCAAGGCATTATTGAGACATCATGCTCACAAGAAGGGGATTGAGACAAGGTCACAGTGATCTTGACCCTTGATCACCAAACACTAACTGGTTCATCCTTTAGTCCAAGTGGATGTTTGTGCCAAATTTGAGGAAATTCCCTCAAGGCACTCTTGAAATACCACATTCACGAGAATGGAATGCATGGATGGACTGACAGACAACCCACAAACAAAATGCCTGCGACCATAGCTGCTGCTGATATTAAAAAGGCCATTGGATTACCAGAATTAATAACTAAGATTCTCCAGAGAGAGTCATAGCAAAATTCAAAATTTATATGCTCTCTGTCCAGTAAAAAATATGTCCAGTAAATTTTAGACCAATTTGACTATTAGATTTTGAGATAGTCAGATTCTTCTGGGGTTTTTTTGGTTAGATTTTAGAGTTTGTCCCGTGGAGTACCTAAACATAAATATAAATAGCAACTGGCTGGTACTTTCAAGATATGGATGAGTGACAAATGAATGGAAAAATCAATATTAAGTGTGTTAGTGATGTAGTGTTCCACTTCAAGCCTCCAGAACAGCTTCAGTGCTCCTTGACGTGGATTCTCCAATTCAAATATCCAACTGAGAACATATGGGACGTATTGGTGCATCCGACGCCGCCAAGTACAACCACAAACTGTCTAGGAGCTCACTGATGCCCTCATCCAGGTCTGGGAGGAGATCCCCCAGGACACCATCTGCCAACTCATCAGGAGCATACCCAGACATTGTTAGTAGTACATACAGGCATGCGGGGGTCATGCACACTACTGAGTCACATTATAAGTTGCTGTGATAAAACTGATACAAGTTGGATCGACCTGTGATTTCAATTTTTTACTTTGATTTTCGGTGTGATTTTGAATCCAGCCCTCAGTGGGTTGATGATTGTGGTTTCCGTTTACCATTGTCACGTAAATTTGTTCTCAATAACTTATACAATGTACATCAGTAAAAAATTTCCAACTTGGAATAATTCATTCATAATTTGCTGAGCAGTGTATTTATACTTACTTATTACTTATTCAGGTTTTTTTGTCATCTATATCTGGCACCAAAGTGCTGGATGGGCTGACTTACTGATTGGCTCACATCACCTACATCTGTTCTTTACTTTTTCAGTTTAATTTTGAATGGTTACTCTACAACTGCTCAGACAATATGCAAATATATACTGTGTATATCTATATTTGGCATGTGAATGTTGAGAAATCTGATTTATAGTGAATGTAAAGGGTCAATGGCAAGACAGGAAGAAATTAACAGAAACAATATGGATGGCAGATACAAAGCTAACTTCCATAGTTTATTTACAAAAGTGCCATACAGCAAAACATTGTCATTTCACAGGTCACTTCAATTTTCTGGATACCCTAAACAGAAAAAACCCACAGCTGAAGAGTTCATTTTTTCAGTTCCTGGGTTGTGGTGGCGAATTGACGAACTGCTGAAGAACTCTCTCTCAAAGAAAAAAAGGAGACTTTGAACATTAAAGCTCAACACAGTTTAAGGACACAGAGGGATTCTCTAAGTGGTATGATCTTATAAAACTAATGCTCATTTAGATATAAAGGGTCTGTAAGTCCACAAGAATGTGAAGCTGCAGCTGCTTCAGAGTGAAAGTTCTCAGGTTTAAAAAGACTTTTACACAAAAACTGGACAGACTGCTCTAAACCACTGAAGTAATATTTCTGAGTAAATAATACATTCTTTAAGTGAGAAATCATCACCATACCAGTATTTAACATGTTTTAGTCCATATATTTTTTGTTTTTTACAATTTGGCTTTTTTTCATAGTTTTGGCTTTAATAGGACCCACGTTGAAATAAAGCAATAATACCCTTTGATAACAAAAGGTGTACACTTTATATCGCCAACCATTTTCCACAGTATATCTAGTTTTCTACCTCACAGGCAGACACCGGTTCATTTCAGTAAGCTATGAAAATCAGCTTGCAGAGAACTCAACCATGCTGCTCAAACAATCCATTACAATTAGCATTACATTTTGAAAAATGTTCTTTTGGTGATTTGTTTAAGTGCTTGTGTGGGAAACTTCTTGTTGCACCAGAAAGGTTGAGAGACAGGATGGTACAAACATGTATTGAATAAACTGAACCTTGAGTATTTCACAACTAAGCTACCTAGCTTGCTACTAACAGCAAACCAGCTAGCTTGGAGAGCTTTTGTGACCGACTAGCGCTAGCATGTTTCCGGCTGGCTAGTGTGTTAGCTGTTAGCTCACCAACTACAACAGTGTTCGAGGTGGCTTTATGAGTGGTCAATAAATTACCAAGCTTCTAGCACCACCTGAACAAACTTCCCCATCCATGTGTCATTGTGAATTAGGTGTTGTCACTTTCTGATTTGACCAGTTGTTAAAGGGACATTTCACCCCAAAATCCAAACTAGGCCTTCATATTTTCCCTCCTTCCTGTATTCCTTTTTATTTATCTAGATCAGGGGTCTTCAACAACAAGGGTTTTTCGCTAGTGTCTGAGGTGAAGGTATGTCTGTTTGAGTCTTTTGTTCAGAAAGTTACAAAACAATCCACTGTGGCTCACAAGAACCGTTAAGTCAGTAGTTCACCTCGCTGTATGGACAGGTGCCACACAGTGACTTAGCGTTAGCTAGCTAACATGATTGCACAAGATTCATGGTTCACAGTTAGTTAGTCATTAATGCTCTGTACTGTAAATTAAATGTTTTTTATTAATAGGCTAATTTATCCTAGCTAATATATTTGACCCACATTCATGTGTATTTTCAGGCATATTTTAATTAAAAAATAAACTAAATTAAAACTTAAACAATAATTTGGCAGCCCCCCTACAGTAAGTCTGAGGACCCCCTAGGGTTGAGGACCCAGAATGTAGCTTGTGGTGCTCAAAGCACCAAAAAAATACAATTGAAAAACTCAACAGCAATGTTTCTTTCCAGAAATCATGATGTGGTTACTCATAATAATCCACAGACCTGGTTGTGAGCAGTTTCATGTAGGAACCATTTCCTCGCTACCGAACACCTGCCAACCGTATTACTAGTCATGGACTGGAGGCTCATGCTTGTGACAGCACAAGATGAAAACATTAATAGCGTTCTCCTCAGGTGAGCTGTAAAGTTAACTACCTCAGCAGTGCTAGGTGTGCTAGCAGTAGATGCACGCTTTCTTCTATGCAGTGATGCCGTGGGAAGGGGTAGGTTGTTAGAAAGAAAATAGTTCCTACATGAAACTGCTCACAACAAGGTCTGCAGATTATCCTGAGTAACCACGTCATGATTTCTGGAAAGAGACGTCGTTTATGAATTTATTTATTTTTTGGCTCTTTGAGCACCACAAGCCAAGTGCCATCTAGTTTCATTATATTAGAGAGAAGGCAGACATCTCTACACCAGTTATCTCCAACACTCGGCAACTCACACCAAAACACACTAGACTGATAAACAGCACTACAGGTAAGAAGAAAAAAATATATATTTGAGTTGGGGGTGAACTGTCCCTTTAACAGCAGCATTAGTGACAAATACTAGTATGACCTCATAGCACCTCACCATAGATTAAGTAAAGCACGGATCGTTTAAAAAATAATTTATACTGAAGTACTCATTAGCCAACTGTGAACAGAAATAACATGTAATGAAGGGAAAATATTACAATAGCCACAAAAAATGAACAAAGTGTCACAGAATAACTGCAAAGAGACAAAATGCTGGACTTAAGCTTTTGTCCAAATAAAGTTAAAGCACAGGCACAGAAATATGGCAACATGACAGGCTGTCGGTCCACTTCTCATCCTTGTGGAGGGTCAGTGGTTTTGTCTGTTTGTTCCACAGAGTAAGAAAGTCACGTAGACAGAGTCGATGGTGCTCTGAGGGAGTCTTCCATCCTCCATTTTCATGTCGGATGCACTCAATGGCGAAGGGATCAATAGCATTTGAAATATTTATTGTAGTGACCTTAGTGACTCCACCCTTTAGTAAGAGACTGGTGGTGCGACGCTCCGATGAACCTTTGATTGGTAGCACTGACCAGTGAAACTGCAGACAGACAGAAAGCAGTCTTTGCCTGCTGGAGGAGGGGAGGAATCTGAACGTATAACCTTAGCGGCTTTAAATCAGCCCAATGGGAGATTGTGTTGCTCTATAAAACCTGCTGTACTCAAACAGCCTTCTCTGGGTACAAAGAGTCACTGTTATACCATGGTGTTGCTCTCGCCCGCTTGATCCACGTACTGAAAGAAAAGAAAAAAAATCATGTTAAGAGGCAGTTGATTGATTTTCAGCTTCTCCCATGTATAAAGCATGATCTGACACACACACACACACACACACACACACACACACACACACACACACACACACTTGTGAGCTTTTGATGAGATGCAAAGTGTTAGTGTGGATTAATCCGATGACTGGACTGCATTGTCTGCCCGCTATCCTGAAGCATATTATAATGGCAAGCATGCATGACTTAAGGGGACACACCACAGGTGAACAGGACAAACAGAATTACTCTGTCACTTTTGGTTGTATTCTTATTACAATTTGGAAATGAAATGAAAATTTTCATTGAAAATGTGCAAATTTGTGCATAGGTTGAGTTCTGTTTTAATTGTGAAGAATCATTCAACAGGTTATAATTTAAAGAACACAAGAATTTGATTCATTCATTTTGATAATATCTCATAAAACTACAAACTAAACTTCACATATAAGCATAATGACTTTAGTTGGGGTTCCATCCATATGTATCACAATGTTCAATAAATCAGTGAAAGAAAATGAAAATTTATGTACTTTTCCATCCACTACTGTTATGTGAAAATTAGGAGTTGGTTCATCAAGATAAGCAACAGGTGGCGTTAAGTCTCCAGCCTGGTGCCATTGTACCACTGCAGAAGAGCACCTACCAGAATAATAAAATCAATAGCTTCAGTCCACTTTACTGCAAAAAATGACTGAAATACGAACAGACTGAAAACTTTATCTTATTTAATAAAACAGATGTTGACAAAGTTTTGCTTTAGGGACATAATTTGCAGTTGAAAAAAGGTAATAATTGCAATGTATGTAATTACAATACTCAGCACATCACAAAGCATTAAAAATCAGCATTTAAAAGTATTGTGAAAACATCCTATCATGGGGCCTCGGCTCATTCCCACCCCGAGTATTTAGAATAGAAAACTGGAGTAAAGCTAATTCTTTTCGAGGGAAAACGGTGTTTAATGGATTTGCTGACAGAGGTGAAATAACGATGCACGCAGCTTTATATGTGAGTTTAACTTTGTGAATTTACCAAACGCTAAAACCCACAAGGCCTGACTCGGCAATTTTACTAAAAACTGACCATTACTGACTACGCAAGCTGTTATTACAAGGTTTTCTTAATAACGACACTAGCTGTGGGTTTGATTTATGGGTTTTTATTTTGAAAAGTGTTACAAAGGATACAGAGTTGGTGGAAATAAGTCTTTTGTTGGGTGGCAGACCCATGTATTAAAGAAAAATATGTAAGAATACATCTGTAATTCATACAGAGAGGTGAAAAAATAACTTTTAACTCTGTGTGATAGGCTTACATGAACTCACTTACTTACAGGGTGGAAAATAATTAATTGTTATAAGAGGCTATAAAAACTCAAGTTTGTCAAGCATGGATTTGGCTTATTTTCCTTGGTTAATACTTTTGGAGACATCCCTATATAATATAACTTAATGCAGAAATACATAACTATTCAGCCAGCGCTAGCTAGCTAGCTAGCTAGCTAGCACTGTCTACTTACAAACTCCTTGATCATTCTGGAGCATAGAAACTTTAAACACTGCTCATTTTCGAAAGGCCACCACTGTTTAGATAATTAAACAGAAAACGGATCATAGCTATTTGTTTCTGGCTGCCCCCAGCATAGCTAGCATGTTAATGCTAGCAAGCTTTTATTTTTCCAGGATCATGCTCGCTGGTGGACGGGAAACAATCTGAACCCACATTACATACATTACTTTATGTAACAAGTTTGTTTCAACCTCACTCCCTCTTGACTTCGCCTGTGTGTTTACTTTCGTCAATTCTGTTTCTGTTCTTGTGCGCTGAGGTGAACTGCCAATCAGAGTGATTTCATTCATTGACGGAATCTGCAGTCAAATCGTCGATGGGGAAAAAAATAAATAAATAAATAAATTAAAAAAAAAAAAAAAAAGCAGATGCGGGCATTTATCTTGTCTTGTCCAATGTGTCGGAAAAGTTGACGTATGATCCAGCAGCCAATGAGATGTCTATGTTTATCTATGTTACCAGTTTGCTTGCCAGCTATAGCAGATCACAAACTTCCCCTGCTAACAGTCACTATGCCATCACCCTTCCTGCAGGACCCATTTTGCGAGGCTGAAGAGATACATTTTTCTGTGCAACATTTATTTCCCATGCACATATTCTCAATAATAGTTCAGAAAAGGCCACAGAAAATGTTGAAAATACCATTAAATAAATAACCTGGACTTCATAGTTGCCTTTGAATCTTGCTTTACCTATGGTGTGTGCCTTTAAAGTCAAATGAACATTAAGGTTTAATCTTAAAAAAAAACAAAAAAGGATTAGCAGATCTCTAACCAAAGTATATATTTCCCCTTTAATCATGAGGTAATTGTTTACTAGATACTGTAAAGCGTATATGTTAGCATGCAAGGGAAAATCGGCAGTGACTGACCACGACTGCTGATTGTCCTCAGAGCCTTACGAAGGCTTTAATAAAAAACAAAGACAGAGAGACATTCACCTCAAAACAAAGCTTCGCACACAACAGCATGGAAGGAGCATGTCCACTAGCCACAACACTATGTGTCTGCTAACTCATAGCTCTAGATGTAAATGGGTACCAGTCCCCACTGGAGACCTCATGAGACTGGGGTTAAAGGCCAGATGACCCTCATATCACTTCATTTCTGAAACCACTTTTTTGATGTTGATATACCACAACATTCTTGCCATGTATACTCAGATCTTGTGATCACTGAATTAATCTCTGACTAGATTTGCAGGTAGTTTCCCAGTGGTTTACTAACCCAGACAAACTGACAGTTTCAGCCAGCTGTAATATGCAGGAGCTGAGCTGTCACTGGATCAGGGCAGTTTGGTTAATCTGTTGTAGCTGCGGTGTTTGAACAGAGTGATTAATAAACAAGAAAAAGCCATGCTGCGTGTGGACGAAGCAGAGCTGCAGGATCGCTGCAGTGCTGGGTAATACATACTGCACTGATGAAGGGCAGGTTTAGGATGGAGCCAAGGACAGGTATTCTTCTGATAAAGCCCACTACAACTGGGAAGAAACCCCTGGATAGGATGAGAGTGAAAGAGAAAGGGAGGAGAAAAGACAAAGACAGTGAAGTCAGAGTCCAAATAAAGAGAACTGCACTAAACAGAGGACGACAATTTATGAAAAAATAATAACATCTAAACATGTATAAATGATTTGGATCTTGTAAAATAAGAATGATGTCCAGAAAGTACAGTAGTTTATTATTATTTAGAGTTTCTTTACCCTTACCTAAACAAGAGGAAAAAGCCGTAGACCTCCAGCACAACTCCGATGATGGGCCAGCCAATCAGCACCACAAACACACCTCCCAGGAAGAAACTGGTGGCTTTCATCTTGTGCTTCTGGAAGAAGAAACGGAAGGTCCTCTCCAGCCCAATGACGAAGGCAAGTCCAGCAACAAACAGGATCTACAGTGTAAGAGGGGGGTGTCAAATTTGGTCCAATATTTGTCCTTTGAAAGTGCAGGAACAACTCCACCTTTTCCTTTATCCTGACTGAGGAGTCTATTTCAATTTTAGCCCCTTTCTCTGCTGCACCTTGCATGCAGCATCCAATCAGACTGCAATAAAGCATTGGTTAGTGCTGGTATAGTAGGACTAGGGATAAAATTTAATTTAATGCTATTAATGTTTACCTTAATTCTGTAATTTTACATGAAGTACGTGGGGTGCTAATCCATAGGATATTATACAAATGTGGTATGAGGACACATCGATGTAAGAAACAATTCTAGCAAAGAAACAATATTAGAGACACATTTCCGAGACTCCTCTTGGTATGTCCCAGTTGTCAAAATAAATTTGATCTTTTTATAGCTAGTATTTGGGAACTGACATTTTGCAGATCACATTTAGCAGGATTACACCACCTATTCTTAAATAATATATATATATATATAACTACTGTGAAGGGGCACTCAACTGATATCAAGATAGGGTGAGAACCTGTGAAAACTGTCTTGTGCTGCTCTGGAGGAGCTTTGTCACGTCTGAGAAAATAACACAGATGATGTCATAGTGATGGCATTGGGGTTATTTCAGTTTTGGCTTGGGGACTTCAGACTTAAGACTGGCCCACATAAAAAGATTTTTCAAATCTTAACAGATGTTGGAAATGTAATGATAAATTTGCCTACTCTGCTCCTATAGTGTGTGCGACAGCCATGATTTGGCCAAAACAGCACACCACACACTAACAGATTACACTCACTAACAACCAAAGTCCGGAGACTCAAAAGTGGAAATCTTGCAAATTTCTCACAATTAAATGTGACTTCAGAACAAACAAGATGGCAGAAGTCAGGCAGGAAGAACTAACTGTTAGTATGTGCACTACTTTTTACAAAAAAAATCAGGAAAACAAAAGAAAAAAATCTGAATAAAGTAATGGAGACAGCATGAACATGGATTGTACAAGTTACAGCTCCAAGTTGGAGGTGAGTAAATTCTGAGTTGAATCCCATTTGACATTGCATTAAAACTGACACCTGCAGGACTGCTGGTTGTCCTTGGGGTTCCACTCTCACAACAGGGATACATAGCAAACATATTGAATGTGTTTACAATTTGAAATCGATGCAGCCAGGAAGGACTTCTGAGCAAATCGGGGGCTGTAACAACACTCACAACATGGTCTTTAGCACCATCAAAAAATCAAGGCTTTGCTGGCTACTGTTGGGAGGGTGGAATGGGGCCAAAACTAACCTGATTTTCATGTAGGGTGTACCCAGCATTAAACAGAAAGTATTAATTATGAAATAGGGGGTGTGGAGTTTAAAGACATCCAAGTTTACATGGCAGGGAGGAGCTAACAAAGACATGATATGGAATTGCATTGTAGGAAATGTGTGAGCCAGTGATTTTGAAGGTCTAACCAAGGTAAGATCTTATGATATCTGCTGCTTCAGTTTTTAATCTGTCACTTGTGAGTCCCCCAATCCCAACAGTGAGAGACAACAGAAGAACAGCAAAGCTAGAGGAGTTGTTGAGAAAGCTGTGCAGCAAAATTTCAAGAACATGTCAGTTAGCCAGTTTTGATACTATCAAGGACTCATGCAGGTGGTTTTACTGTACAACTAACACAGTGTTTGCAAACCTGTTTCTACAAGTGCGCTGAGTCTGTCTTGAACTGACTTAATCAGCACTATCAACCAGGTGAGACCTGATAAACTGCTCCTCTTTTGTGAAAAGCAGAGGATGGACCTTCATGTTAATAATAACTTGAGGACAGAGTGCTTTCCAGGGTCAGCACAAACTCTTATGGAGGAAAGATAGCTGCATCTGTATGTTTCTCAACATTACTTATAATGACAGTTCAATGAAGCAGAAACACTCACATTCCCAATAGCCAGGAGTGCTTTGTCGAAGAAAAGGATCATCCCAAAGAAGAGGAAAAACACGCCGAAGCCTGTTAATCCCATTCCAATCTCTGCAGGACACACACATACCACAGTAAAATTTAATTACTCCATCTGAGATAGCCACTGAAGTGTAGAGGTTTGCTTTGCATGTCACTGACTGTTCAACTCTTAGGAACAAGTGGAAATCACCTAGAAAGTGTGATTTGTATTGTTATGGGTGGCCAATTCAAACTAAACTTATTGTTACAGAGAGCTGCTATAGAGAGAGATAGGCGATGATGTAAGGTTTAACAGGTCCCCAGCTGTTTCACAGCCAAGGCCACAATCAGTTTGTCATCTAGATAAATATCTGGTGAATGCAGCACACTTTGTCCTGTATGTTATACTTGTTAATGATCAACTTAACTGAATGGTTTCAGTATTTAACCTGACAATACCTCAAAGTACTCCGTTCATAGATGGAAAAACAGTTAGGTAAACAAATAAAGGTCAATATTTCAAGTTGAACCACATTCAAACTAAAACAGTAATTTCACTGACGCTTCCTTTGGACCTCCGTTGTTCCCTCTGTATTTGAAGCTAGTCACAGCTTTTCAAATGCGGAATTAAAACATGGCCGTATGTTATTTACAAGTAAAAGGCTTGCCAGGAGCAGCACAAATAGTAGCAGGAGGTAGCTATTAGCTTTCTGGGCCACAGGTTATCGTTATGACACACCATGAGAAAAAAAACGAAGCTAACTTTCCTAGCAACGAATGCTAATTGCTAGTTAACCAAGTGGTGCAGCTGAGATAAAGCCGGTGTCACAGAGAGAGCAGTAGCTCACAGAGATGCTGAAACACAAAGAGTCTTACTTTGGGAGTCCGTTAACGAAATCATCTTGACGCCGAATAAACGGGTGAAGATTAAACAGAAACAGAAAAAATATTATTGTGGCATTCAAGTACTCCTCCTGGAACAATTTGGATGACAGCTGCCACTGCAGCAACAGCCACGTCTTCCGGAAACACACTTTCTCGCGATGTCATCTTCCGGAACAACGCTGTGTCGCATTCAACGTGGCAACTTCACCTTCGTTCTTCACAGAGTTGCGAAGTGGATCGTGAGCTAATTTGGACAATGGTATGTGACCTATGTGACTCACAGTTGGAAGTTCCAACTGTACTATTTGGATGAGTACGAAACTCAGCAGGAGAAATGATTGAGAACTCATAGTTCTCTGAGAAAAGAAACCAGAAGTGTGTGTACATAAAAACTTTGAGGTTGATGTTAACTACGACTCCCTAGATGCATTTCGTCAGCAAGAAACATCCAATCAGTATTCGTGGAAAGAGCTGAGCTGGAGCAAGAGCTGCTAAACTTCAAATTCACATGACATTAAAGGAGAACTACGCACATTTTCTAAATTCATAAATGTTGTTCCTATGGTCTGAGACCATCCAAAAAACAAATATAAACAACTATATCCCAAATCCATAAACAAGAATGCTAAAACTCAGATTTATGTTGTCTTCAAGTGTGGAACTGCTCCACAGACAATGAACTGAGATAGAATCAGAAATACTTCATTGAGTCTGGAGGAGAAATTATGATTTATTGCAGTCGCCCCAATGTAAAGAATAGATAATTATAAGTAAGAAAAGACTATGAAATAGAACTATGTAGATATAAAGCAATAAAGTACAATAAGATATAAATACATATACAAATGTGCATTATACTACAATGTTTAACACTAGTACATATAAAATTGAGAATAAAATATATATGTTTGTTAATGTGTAAAACATGTACAAATATCTGCATTGTGCTACATTACACTGTATAAAATGATGTCACAGAAATATGGAATATTTATTATGCTATAATGTTGACTACAATATATACATCAATAGAATAAAGATAAGAATAAGAATAAACATAATAAGTATGTACAGTTATGTGCATTGTATGTTGAATAAATATATACATTCAGATCAGCGGTCTCCAACCTATTTCCTTAAGGGACCCCTTTTCTATCAATTAGTCAACTGATGGCCCCTAAATAAGTGACATATTCTATGCATATTTCATATTTTATTTAATGCATAACAATAACATTACAGAGCAAAGGACAAATTATACAATCAATCAAAATAGTGAACGTAGTAACTGCAGGAAGTTTGTGTAAAACAAGCAATTTGGATGAATTTTGAGCAGATTCTTTTTGCATATTGCACCAGAGCTGACTTTTCCTGATACTTTTTAGGGACTCTTTTGGGGACTTATACAATTCTCTGTCTGTATTGTTTTTTTTTATATAT